AGTGATAACAACTGAATAACAAGAGTTGGTTAAGTCAAAATGGTTGGCCTGAGTCATTAATTCAACTGAAAATGTTAAAAGTTCACACATAAAATCCACATAATACAACGTTTGCATTTAAAAATCACCTAAGTTAACAGTCCCAAAAGGTGAAGCCAATTGTGATTTTGATGAGGATCCATATTTTGGTAGAGGAAAAGATGATTTTGATGGCACTGGTGATCCACATGTCAACCTTGTATGACCACTTTCCTTGCACCGACTACATGTCGATCTCTTCTTCTCTTCACCCTTAGACGGTATACGATCGTGACTTTTTGGTCGGCCAGGTAGCCTTCTGTCCATGGCTGGTGGCAAAACTGTTTGTAAGTCATTTGGTATGTCCCACTCAGAAGGATGTGGAATAGGGTAGACAATCTCGGCATAAGTCTGTCGATAAACTTCTGTAGTGTAGCAATCCATAGCGTATGCGCTTGAATCATCTTGGTTTAAATGAAGAGCAACTTTTATAACATGGCCACACGGATAACCAGATGTTTGCCATTTCATACAACTACACGTCTTTGCATTTAGATCGACTAGCCCATTTAAGTTATTATCCAGTACTTGAAACAAAGTGTTTGAACATGGTTCAACTCTCCATGACGTTAACTTCACAACACGTTTCGTTATCTTTTTTTCAGTCCATGGTGTAACACGATGTTCCAATGTTCCTGTAAATTTAAATAAACAATACTTAGTAAAATATATAAATATGATAAGTTACGAATTCAAAGAAATAATACCTGCATGGTTTCTTTTCTTGTAGTACCACTGTTGAATAGAGGCTCGAAAAAACTCCATTAACATAGTAATGGGTAATTTCCGGGAATGACGACTTAGAGCGTTGATTGATTCTGCACTATTAGACGTCATGAAACCATATCTTGCTCCAAGTTGATGTACTCTTGACCATCTTTCAAACCCGACATCTTCTAGTGTTTGAGCACACTGAGGCAAAACACGTCTTAAACAATTTATATGCTTATTGAAATCCACTTCCCGATAAGCTTTTACAGCCTTCCAGTATGTCCATTTGTGCTTTTTTATACCAGCAGACCTTGATTTTAGATTTCTATACAAATGAACACCACAAAGTCCATGAAAAGCATCTGGGAAACACCTTCTAACAGCGTTGTCAATTGAGTTTGCCCTATCGGATATGATTGTCAGATTGCTAATAGGACCTATGCAATCCCTAAGATGCCCCATAAACCATGTCCATGAATCAGAGGTTTCAGATTTGCCAACCCCGTAAGCTATTGGCAATATCCCATTGTTAGCATCCATGGCTACTGCTAATAAGTTTACTCCAAGGTATCGACCTTTCAAATGTGCTCCGTCAACTATAATAACTGGGCGCATGCAAGTAATAAACGAACGAATCTACAAAATAATATACACAAGAAATATAATCATTTAAATGTGAAATGCATGTAACTAACAAAAATGAGTCAACAAAATTATATTGATTTACTAACCGTAGCACCAATGGCGATAAACAGCAACTCAAAGCGTCCATCTCTATCTGTTTTGATATGAGTTACCGACCCAGGATTTTTCAGCTTTAAATTGTGACAATAAGCCGGCAGTTGGGCAAACGATGCTTCTGGCGACCCCCTCAACAATTCCAAGGCATAACATTTAGCTCTCCAAGCTTGAGAATATGATATACTAATCTTGAACCGAGCATTCATGTCAGTCATAATTTCATGTCCCCGATATACCCTGCCATTCAAAAACATTAACTCAGCCAGAAAACCACCCAACACCTTTTTGTTTGCCTGTCTATGGTGAGGAAAAACTTGGGTTCTTGAACATGTATGTTTATCAATAAAAGTCCTAACTTGAAACATTTCGCAATCTTTTATTCTCTTTGCAATCATTCGCCACATACAGTTTTTGTCAATCATACACCTTGTTTCGAAACGATCTTTGCTTGATTTGTTAACTTTTAGTTGATAGCCATCTTCCACACATTTCGTATACAAAGCTATCTTCAAGTCTTCCTTTGTATCAAAACAATCATCTTTCTTGATACGAATAACTTTTGTGTAACAATCAACTGCTTTCTTTACCAACTCTTCTTTCGGTATCTGAAGTAATTCTGGCATATTCCAGTTATACGCCCGTGGCATTTTCTTTTCTTCGGGGATTTTTTCTTCTTCTTTTTCTTCTTCAGGATTATATGAATTACAGAATGGATGTTCAACATGTTCATTCACAGTCGTAACTTCCTCCTCATTATCATCAACAATACATTTTTCGGCAACGGCTGTTTCATCATCAAAATTCGGGTATTGACCAATATCAAAATCATTACACGCAGGGTCTGTTTCTTCTTCTGAAACATCATCAAAATCCGTGTATTGACCAATATCAAAGTCCGGATATTGACCAAGACCAAATTTCGAATACTGACTAGTACTCACAATTTTTTCTGTTGGCTCATCATCGTCTAACTGGTCAATACGAAAACCGGAATTTGGTGCTGAAAGTTGATTGGGATTTGGATTAGAGAAATGTTGTGGGTTTTGAGAAAAACTTAGTTGATTACTACCCGCTACTGACCCAACAATACTACTTCTAGGTTCAACAACATACAATGTAACATCATCTTGTGAAACACTAATGTAAGCAATGAATCGTTCAACATCTTCATTGTCGGTTAACAAATAAACTTTACCATTTCTCTGATAAGATAGCCTAAATCCACTTAGGGGCTCTAAATTCAATTTATTTGAAACACGTAGCATTAGAATTTCATAAGTTAACTTTTGTAAAGACAATTTTAGTTGAAGATTCATGGGTAAAGGCATATATTGTAAAACACCATGAACATTATCCCATGACCCTCCAAAACACAAATCTATCCAAACATGATCAACATTAGATGATTTCATGGTTGTAAATTAATTTACTAAACAGACGAGCTGCGAAACTAAAACCTGTTGCCGGATTGGGAAGGATGTCGTTGGATATAGGAACGGATGTCGCCGGAGAGAGTGATAGATGGAGATGGAATGAGTTGCGATTTAGGGATTTAGTTTATGATTTCAGTGTTATATACCCAAAATTTCAGTGTTGTGATTTACAGATTCTCGTTGCGATTTACGGATTATCGTTGCGATTTACAGATTCTCGTTGCGATTTACGGATTATCGTTGCGATTTACAGATTCTCGTTGCGATTTACGGATTATCGTTGCGATTTACGGATACGCGTTGCGATATACGGATACGCATTGCGATTTACGGATACGCGTTGCGATATACGGATACACGTTACGATTTACGGATACGCGTTGCGATTTATGTGTTCGCGTTGCGATTTTCATATTCGCGTTGCGATTTTGGAAAATCGCAATGCGAATTTGTACTATCGCATTGCGATTTTCAAGAATCGCGTTGCGATTTTGGAAACTGATTTGCGATTCTGGGGATCGCGTTGCGATTTTTATTTCGCGTTGCGATTTTGTTGGTCATTTTGGCAAATCCAAAAAAAGTTGGTTAAAATCGTATATTATAACTTTTTTTTGGTCACTGAGGCGATTTTCTCTTTTAAAAATTGATATGAAAGTAAAATTACATTTAAATTTCCATAAAATTTATAATTTAGTTTTGGTCCTCTAAGTTAAGTTTCTGATTTCACCACAAATTTAGCAGATTTATTTTTTAAATAAATATATAAATAAACCTAGTTAACCATAATAAATTTATCAACTTCCACAAATTTATTGAGTTGACTTGGCAATGCTACGATGCATTTACTTTTTGATCATGCAGTGCATATTATATATATTTGGTCAAAAAGGAAAAAAAATAAAAAGGAAAGATAAGTGGGCACATTTCTTAAATCAAATTAAATGCCGTTTTTGTCCAAAAGTCAAGATCGCTGGTGAAGACAGTTCAGTCTACTTCACTACAGCTCAGCCAGAAAAGGGTTTGCTTTCATTCTCCAACTCTATAAAGAAATGTTGTGGGGGAACTCATCCAGCATCAGAAACTTAAGCAAAGAGATTATATAATCAAGTGAAGTTTTGAATGTAAAAACCTAAAGTTGGCTTTATGGAAGACATAGCTACACATGGTCTAAAACGCCACCTTTTCTTTCATTTCTTCAACGTTCAACATTCTCCTGCTGATTCACAATAAAAAGATTGCATTCATTTCATTCTTCTTCTCATGATGTTCATGTGCACACTTTCAACCAAAAAAAAAAGGAATCGACTTCAACGTAAAGTTTCTTAATCTTGATGGGTTGGTATTTTTCCTAGCTACAAATTGATGTTTGTAGGCTAAGTATTTTCCGAGCTAAAAAATATGCTTTGGTAGGTGCTATCGGCTGGTGTTTTTGAATAAAATAAATGGGTCAACAGTTTGAATATTGTGTATGAACTGGAAATGTTGCCGATACTTTGTCTTTTAATGAGTACTGTGTCAAAGGAGCAATAAGTGTTTCAGAAACCCATAATTTAAAGGATGTGATTGCAGCCAGTGAAGTCATTGATCTGCTGATAATAGGGTGGGGGCTATGGTTCAATCATTCGATCGTTGAATTGTGTTTAGTTTGGTGGATATTTGGTGACTTAATCTTAACCTAATATTAAACTTGATTAAGTTTTCTTTTATTGCTTATTTTTTAAACCCTACTTAAATCAAGTACAAAACACTAAAGTTAAAAGTTCAAATACCTAATAGAGTAGATGATATATCAAACGTATTTTGATTTCTTAAACCCCAATTAATAGTATAAAATAGAACTATAAAAAGGAGTTAAACCAAAGTCTAATTCAAAATTGTTAGAATAAAGGCATATGATATTCAGAAAATAAATAAATAAATAAATTCACGTATGTTTTCAACACAATGGCTTCCGATAAAACACATCTTATCTTCGTCGCTGTAAGATACCAAGTTCTTGTAACATTAATTAATGACTTTGTCCATTCCAAGCATCCGACCATCTAAAGGCTTATCCACACGAATCAAGTTGCTGATTTTCTGACCAACTTCACCCATTGAATAAAACAGAGCAAAAGCTAAGATATTAATGATGATTCTCAACGAGATCGGCAAGAGTTATCTTCCCGCAGTTGCCGACATCCAGCCTGTCAAATGTCTCGCAGATCTGCATAATGTCCTTTTCCGGTACCTTCTCCATCTCCTTGAGCTTGTATACAACAAACTCTGATTTGCTGCGTATATATATAATTCCACAGAATCTGAGACTCCTTTAAGCATAAACACATAATAACTGGTAAAAAGCAACTCTCAAGATGAAGAATATCTGAGGATGAGTAAAGCAAACAACGTGGACTGAGATTGTTTATGAACTTCACGTAATGACACGGATCGAGAAAAAGAAGCAGAGCGCTATAAGATGGTTCTAACTTCTAAATGAAATAGGCTTCAGTTTGTTTAGTAGATATGTTGCTTCCGTGGCCTGTTCTAGGCCTCTGAAACTAATGGTGTTAATTTATATATTTTTATTTAAAAAAAACATACCTCACAAATCCATTGTTATCAATATCAGCAGCGAGAAACTCCGAGACAGTCATGTCATGGCCAAGCACCCATTTCGCCATCCTCCTATGCCTCTTATCCACTCTAGCCTCGGCCAAATAAAGAAACGCTCGAGCAACAGCCAGAGTCGAAACCAGCAACCAAATAGCAGCAAAGAGCCGACCGGGCAACGTCTTAAAGGCATGATCACCGTATCCAACAGTTGTGACCGACATAACAGAGAGGTAAAAACAATCCACCCACCCAAGATTCTCAATAAAATGCATAACACCAACACCGATTCCGATACAAAGAACCACAACTCCTAGTGCCAATCCCACCTTCATTCTTATCCTCATTCTCCCCTTTCTCACATCAATTATGTAAGATCTAGCCGAATCCTTCTTTCGACCCTCGTGTTGAACGGTTCTCAACAAGTAGTTCTCTTGCAAATCCAGCACATAACTAACCATCCCACTAAGCAAAATATCGATGAAACCAAATCCAACCAGCACAAATAGAATCGAAAACAGCTTGGTAGCCACACTATTAGGGATGATATCACCATATCCAATCGTGCACATTGTGACGATACAAAAATACAATGCATCAACAATAGGGTGAGTTTCGTGACCCACGAAATTAGGACGATTAAACCAATATATGACAACACCCAATGACAAATACAACAGTAAAAGAACAAAAGCTTGCCTTACAACCGATCGGGAACCGAATTGAGGCTTGGGAATTGAAGGGTGGACAACATCGTTTAGAACTGCAATAGCGGGAGCTGTTTTGCACCTGTGGAGATGGGTTTTTTCCCATGTGAGGTTTGGGTCTGTTGAACTTGAAGTGTCTGCTGAATTTAGTTGGTTTTGTTGTGGTAAAAGAGGGTCTTGAAGAGTTGTAATGTTTTCATGAGAAGAATACGAAGGGGAGGAGGAAGACAAGGCATCGAGGAGTGGAGATGATTCAATGGGAGAAGGGGAAGAGGAAGGAGAGGGACCAAATATGAGCCTATCTTTGAATTCTGATGGGGTTAACGGGAGAGGGAGAGAGACGGCTACATCGTTTTCTGGGAGAGGAAACAGTGCAGGTGTTCTCTTTCTGGGACTCGCGTACGGCAGCAAAGGCTCATTTTCCATGTGAAAATTCACTGAAAAAAAAAAACAAAAACAAAAAAAGGAAAAGAAAAGAAGATGCAGCGGCTACCGGGATATCAGTTGAGCTCTGAAGAGAGTAGGGACAAGTAAAAATGGTTTTGAAATATATCCATACAATCAAAACCATAACTCACGGGTCTAATTGTGTTTTGTGTGTAGAAGACAAACGAAAGTTGGTTTTACTTTGATCACGTAAAGACAGGGAGAACGTATGTCCCAGATTTTATATTGTATTACAATGTGTGGAGGAAAAACAATAGCGACGAACTTACTTGGTAGTTTACTTCGACGTGTCTTTTCAGATTCGATTTAAGACGAGGAGCATAACATGATACTAAACAGTGTTGACCGTAGATGTTGCTAGTGTTCCAACCGGCATCGGCGTGTGAAGCTGTTCTTTGCTATTACTACAATCACAGTTAATAAATATATATACATAATATAATATAATTAAATATGATTTTTGCAAGAGAAAGAGTGGTTCAAAATCAAATTAGAATCTAATGTCAAATTTTTTTTATCATTGTATCATAATCTTAATTAACTATTAAATACAAATAATAAAATATATATTCATATTTAGAATTTCCATTTATAATATAAAATGTATGGTCAAATGTCAACTATACTCGTTTATGGGAAGCCTCAATCTCAGATAATGGAAGCAAAGTGTCCATTCCATGTGCCGAGAATGACGGGAGTTGATAATTATTTGGGTGGAATTTTTCTACTAATTTATTTATGTAACAATAAGAGGACAGCTTTATAATCACTGTCAACCAATTGATAGATAGAATTTTATACAGGAGAATGAAGGGAAACAGAACACTCTGCTGTCCAGATAAATCAAACCTGTGTCTTCATATTATTTTAACTCGTACAGCATTTTCACACTACTCGGTCACTACTAGAATGTAACCCAGAAGGATTATTGGCCAAGACAGCATGGCAAAGGAAATGAAGTGGGTCTATATGAAGGCCCCACTAAAATTGAACTAATCGTCGTCATCAAGCACACTCTGACGCTTCTGGATCTGGAAATTCAGATATATATATATATGTATAATGGAGAAGAATCCAAATATTGCAAAATGTGGAGCTGCAGACAAGCAGCAATGCTTGATGGTTTACCGTGACTTTCGTCTGCAGACATTATTAAACAAGCAACAAGACATTGATTACCACACCATGTTGAGCTATCAGCTCTTGCATCCTTGCTTCTAGTTCAGGATCAATTTACATAATTAGGAAAATTCAGAATCCCCATACTTCATATTTGGACCCTGTCTATGCTTTTTAAAAAAATATTCAAAAGCAGGTTAAATCGAGATTACCGCAACCTTTTAGCTTCGGCAGGGCTTAATCTCTCGTCCACACTTGCGCCAGGCGTACCCAACGGTGGTGCTCCATTGTTCATTTTCTTATTATTTTCCAAAATGAAAATTAAAGGCTTCCTTTCGTTGGGCTCGGTTGGACTCATGTTGGGTCTTACTACAGACCAAATTTCAGAGATGATCCATCTAACCCATTACATTTAAAGGAATATTATATATATAAAATTCATTTCTCCATATATATATATATATATATATATAATTCATTGCTCCACATATATATATATATATATATATAATTCATTGCTCCATACTCTGTGATCTATATACAATCTCTAATCTATTTATTATCTACATTTAAATATAAGTTTAGAGACATTTTTAAATCAATTAAAATATTTTTATTTTTAGAGTAAATTGCATATTTAGTCACCCAATTATTCTTGCGATGCAGTTTTGCTCACCAAACTATTTTTTTCAAAATCATACCCAAAGTTACATTTTTGTTTAATTTGATCATCCATCGTAAAAAAATTAAAAGAACTACTGATGTAGAATTTTTTAAAAATTGTTCTCAATGATGACGTGACATTATCTTATCGTGACATTACCTTATGGTGATATGTCAGCATCACCATTAAATTTTTTTATTAACGGGTGACCAAAAAAATTAAAATGAAACTTTAGATGATTTTGAAAAAAATAGTTTACCTTGAGTAAATACATAGTTTACCTTATTTTATTATAATTTAAGTTTAAAAAATGAAAATTCATATATAGTTAAACTTATATAATTAATTTTAAAAAAAATAATTATCTAAAAATAACTCTTAAAATAAATATAAAAATTATGCTAAAAATTCATTTAATAATATAAGATGAAGAAGAAGAGTATGTTGGTGAAATAAATTGTTATAACACATAATGATTAATAATAAAATGGAATCTTATAAATTTTTATACATGTTTACATATTAGTAATTCATTATATATAAATTTTGACGTATAAGTATATTTGTACTGTTTTTATGTTATCATTTGTTTTAGTTATTTCACGTTATTTTATATAGTTATTTATTTTACTCATATTTTTGTACTTTATAATTAAATTTCATTAAAATATATATTTATATAATTAAATAATTACACATATGATTGACAAAATAAAATGCAAGTGTATATATATATATGGAAGGGTACAAAAACGATTTATTATCCAGTCGTGGGCTATAACTAGAGGTTTTAAAAAAACTCTGTTAATCGGTATAATAATTACATTTAACAAATTAATTATTCGAATCGTTAATGTTAAACTAATTATGTTCACAGAATTGCTAAAAATGATGATTAACAGATAAAGTTACGATTATGAATTTTGATAAATGGTTAATCGTTAATAAATTAAATTTATAATTATATTGGGAGATATACATACTTACACCGGTGCAAGTACGTGTTTAGTGCTACATTTTTTTTACTTTATTCACTTACACATTTGTAAGCACGTGTTAAGTGATGCATTTTTTTGTAGTATAAATAATGAAATTTTAAAACGCTCATGTTATGTTATTTTTGAAAAATAATTATACTATGTTAACCATAGGTTAATCTATAATCAAACCGTTAATAATGGTTAACCTATAATCAAACCGTTAATAACGGTTAACCATTAATGGTTAACCGTTTCTTAACGGTTAAAATAATCTTGTAAAAGTTAATAAAAAATTAACAAGTCCCCAAAAGAAAAACCAAAGCGAACCGACAACTACATTATTATTATTATTATTATTAATCGTTTCTTAACGGATAATTAAAAAAATAAACAAGTCCCCAAAAGAAAAACTGAAGTCAACCGGCAACTACATTATTATTATTATTATTATTATTATTATTATTATTATTGATAAAACAACCACATTATTAGAATATTCAAAGAAGCCATATGATTAAAATCAATATGTCATTTAAGGGATAAACAAATTAAGACTGATGAAACACATTAATATTAGAATATTCAAAGAATATGAAAAAAATCAAGCGGATTTGCGGATGTATAAGAAATGAGATTATTTAATACTCAGATTAAGTTAACTATCACCGTTTAAAATTTATTTTCTGTATTATACACAACAAAATCATCTCATGCGTGGCACGGTTCAGCTACTATTGTCATCATGTGTGCATAAAATTGAAGCAAATAAAAATGATTGATAATAAATAAGCCTGTAAGATCTTCTATATGTTCATAGATTATATAATATGATTCCTGGAAAGTGCAGTTCAATATTTTAAATGAGATTTAGCCTAAGCTGTGTATTGTATTATATTTTATAATGCTGAATGCGTTATTTTACTACGCAATGAGTGGAACGAGAGGATCGTGGCAGTGGTGGATCTAGATATTAAAAAATGGGTACAAAATTTTAATACCCTATTTTAAAAATTTTGGGTATGCAAATTTTCTTATTTTTTTCTATTCTTATTAACAAATTAAATTTAATTTAATATTTTTCTCAAAGTAATGGGTGTACAAGTACATCCGCCCTTGGATGTGGTACATTACCAACATATTATCATCCCCAAACCTGGATTTCCTCTATAAATATGTACTAAAACGCATTTGCTTTCACTCAGAATCTTACACTACTCCCTTTGGCTCCTTGTCTTTCATCTTTCCTGGAACTCCTGTTTGGTCAATGGCTAAAGCTCAACAAATACAACTCTATGTCATCGGTAAGTTCTCACATACTTTGAAACATTAGCTAAGATTTGTCGATTAAACCTTTTGTTAAATTCGAGCTCGTTGAACTGATCTAACCGATCAGTTTATTAACACTTCGATACATGCATGGCAGACCCTGAAGCTAAAGGAGCGAGTTCAAGTACGGGAGCTGTGAGCCCACGACCGGATTACCGACCTCCTCGGAGAGACATGATGAGGTGGTTCCGGATAGCCCTATACTCAATCCTTGTGTTGTGTGGCCAAACAGCAGCAGTGGTGCTTTCAAGATTGTACTTTGGGAAAGGTGGAAGAAGCAAATGGATCTCAACGATGGTTCAAGCTGTGGGTTTCCCTATTATCCTCCCCTATTACTTCATCTCACAACGCAAATCACTTTCATTTTCTGCTGCTGTGAAAACGAAACCATCAACGTTGCCGTTGCGGGGTTTTGCGTACGTATCCCTCGGACTGCTGGCGGCTGGAAATGCGTATCTGTACGCAGTTGCCTTCGAATACCTCCCCGTGTCCACAGTGGCGCTGATCTCAGCATCCCAATTGGCCTTCAACGCTTTCTTCTCTTATTTCCTCAATTCCCAGAAATTCACTCCTTTGATCATCAATTCCCTGTTTCTTCTCACCATTTCCTCCGTTCTTGAACTTTATGAACAACAATAATGTTTTTAACCACTGAGGTAGGTTATTGCTTTTCGCTACATAGTTTAAATGAAAATTATGATTCTTTTTAATATTCAAATTTTCATGTGTTTTAGATTTGATTTTTTTAACAATCAAAGTTTCAGATATTTTGATGTGTTTTAAATTAAGTTATATGTTATTTTGTCTATTTTATAAAGGGTAAACTACGTGATTGATCATTTTCGTTCAAGTTTTATATAATTTTTCTCACTAAATTCAAAAAAATTATATTTGATCACTTTTGTTTTATTTTCATCAAATTTCTATTCTCTGACGTGTCACATTGAATATGACTGAGGAAGCGTTCATGGTTTTCAAATTGTAATTGTTTTTCTGATTATTCTCCCTTGAGAGCCGGATAATAACAAAATAATTGTGATTATTAACCCTTTTTTATAAATCCTCTTAATCTATATTCTTTCTAAATCATTCCAACGGCAAAATAAAATTGTATATCGTAACTGTATAATATTATAACTCATATTATATATTATCCACAATATATCTAACAACCTTATCATAATGTTCACGAACCAAATACGAGAATCTAAAGTTATGCTCATCTTAAAAAAAACGAACAAAACACCCTACTATTACAATTCAAGCTTGAAAATTTTACTATGATAATGTTTAACAAAATGATTTGATATGAAAAAGAAAAGTATATTTTTCTTATTTTAAAGAGTTATTACTTTTAGCTGAACTTTCACTTTCAATTTAAATTTGATTACTTCTTGATGTAAGATAATCAATTTTAACATTTAATAGTATTTTTAATAGTCCACGATTATTACAAAATAATCTGTTTAAAATCTATCTTAACTATTGCCAACGTACACACTTTGTAGGCACAATCACGCAATTACTCAAGTTCGGGGCCTTTAACGAGGGCAACATTCTTTTTAACCACTTGATGTGTTAAATAATAATTCATAGCAAAATAATCGAGGAAGCTGCGAGAAAATAGATTGGATTTAAATGTAAGTTGAAGGTACTACCACTCAGACAGAGTAAACTTAAACCCGCCGAGACGCAGGAATTGAAACATGAGAGATCAAATAGAATGGGAACTTTTCACTATAAAAAGGGGAAGGGTAACGGAGAAACAATGAGGGGAAAGAAAATCGGAGGGCAAAGTCCACTATCCCAAATTAGCACACTGTGTTCCTAAGTTAACATAAGCAGACAATAAATAAGTAGAATACAACCTCGTGGCACAGGGCAGTAGCCATCAAGGTCTCTTCAGACCCCATCAACCATTACATGTAATTATTCAATCGCAAGAATGCCTTTGATTGGCCACTTTTAAACACTAAAAGACCCTGAAAAACCAGGAGGTGATATCATCAGTAACTGTTTTGCCATAACTGTTGGGTATGCTTTGATGGCTGGCCTTGAGACCCACTCAGAGTTCCATCCATGGGGTTTTGCTGCTGATGGTCCCCCAATACTCCAGTTTGTGAATGGTAGAAATTTGGGTATCCAAGAGCCCCAAAATGCTGTGAAGGTTGTTGCCCTTGTCGAAATCCACTGCCTTGCTGGTTCTGCCCCTGGAAGCTGTAATACGTGCTTCCAGGAACAGCAGACATTGTTCGTGAGCCAGGGCCATGAATCCACATGGCTGAATTCTCAGTCTAACCACATAAAACAAAGAAAAAAGGGTTCCCTTTTAGATACAAAGCAGTAGAAATAAAGATAACTGAAAAATATAAAAAGATACAGAAGCACGTGAAATCACAGATCCCTGAGAGTCAAGGTAGAAGGAGGAACGACAGACTTTTACTTCAGAACAATTTAACAAGAATGAATGCAATATTATGCACACACATTCCACAGAAATGAATGCAAACTATTCAATTCAAATGAACAATGTTCGTTACATCAATTACCTGTTGAAGTGACATCAAATGATTGCTGTCCTTGTACTGAGAACTCAGATTATCATCATAGCCAATTGTTGTGCCTGCAGGTGCAGTAGGTGGATTCAGAGGAAGTCCTCCAGGAACGTTGGTAGAATTCCCAAACCCATAGCCCGATACAACTGTAGCAGATTGAGGTAGGCTGCTAACAGAAACACTATTTTTGTACTGGGGGAGCACTGCTGCCAGGGACTGAGGGTAGTTACTATTACCAGCGAATGTTTGCTGGAATGCTGGTGGCATATAAGTGTAACTCTGAGGCAAGAAAGGATAACTAATCATGTTGGCAAAATGTCCCAATGGAAGCGTAGGTTGGGAAAAAGGGTGCATGGCTAGATGCTGTGGAAGAGTAGGTCCTGTGGCAACACTGGCACCAGGCAGGGTCTGTGGAGTTTCCTGTGGTGCAGAAATACTAGCTGCTCTCAGAGCCTGCAAATATCCAAGTTTATCAGGAAAGGATTAGATCTTTACCATTTAGTTAGGCTTTGAAAGTGACTTATCATTTTTTCTTTCCCCACCCCCCAACTATATTGTCGCTTATGGTTAGTAGGCATTTTTATCTTTTTTTCTGACACCAGCATAAGCAAATAACAAAAACATGCAACAAAATTAATCTCGATCTGGTAGAACCAGATGCATAATTGAGGACAAAGAAGTGATAGATAAGAAATAGACAAAGGCCACCATTCCTCATTAGGGATCGATGATGCATACGAAACTAGTGTTTAAGAATGTTTCTGTGTCAGCATATAGCATGTGCTTTCACAACCAAAATTCTAGTCAAATATGAAAGCAATATAGTGCATACTTGATGACACCGATACCAGGTAAAGTTGGCATTAAAAAGAGCTTCAATATTAGATTATATCAAGTTCCATATCACTTCGGCAAACTCTTGAAAAGATAATAGTATAAGTTATTTGGACCAAGCAACTCCCAACACGTACAAATAAGAGTATGTCCCAAGGAAAGGGCAGGTCTACCAATATTGATTTGCTCTCAAGGGAGTTAGAGAGATCCAACTCAGATGCCAATTAAAAAAATTCCAATAAAATAACAAAACTAACTTTAAATTGTGAGAACATTGGGCGTTTACTTTATTCTTATATCTTCATAGCCAACTCTTAGCTGCCTCCTATTTATCTCTTCTTAAACAAACCAAAATCAAATGTCCACAATAACTTATTTCAAGTTTTATCCCTTTTTTCCCCATATCTATACACCCACTCATACGAGTGTCTTGAGTCTTGATGGTATTCCATAAAATAAAAAGGGATAATAGCTGGTCACTATTAGAAATGTACAGTCACAGACATCAAGAAATTAATAATATAAAGCAAAGGGCACCTCTGACATAGAAATGGTTGGACCACTAATGGAAGAGTCTGCATTGGTGTATTTTGTAGTCGTGGGGAAGGGCAGGTATGGAAGATCCGGCTCCCTTGCAGTCTGAACATTTGATGTCAGCAAAGAGCTTGGCAATGAATTTGTGTATGCTTGCTGCACAAAAAACCATTATGGTAAGAAGGGAACTCCAGATACTAACACACTGTTCCAAAAACATATTAGGTCAATCAATAATTTCAAAAAGTACAACAGGGTTTTTCTTGAAAATGAAACCTAGAACAAGAAGTTGAAGCTATCAACGAGAAAGTTCTATGTAAAAGAAAATTTTGAATCAAACTCTAAAACATTTGTTTTGAATCATAAGCTAGAAAATTGAAGTTCATGTACTAAAACAGAAAAACAGAATCCTAAGTTGCATTACCATTACACTTGAAAAAGGAGTGAGATTTTGTATTTGGGTGTTTGTCTGCGGATGAGTAAAAGCAGGATTTAACTGTTGAGAGTTCTCATAGTTATAACCAGATGCAGATGAAGGAAATGCATATTGACTCCCTTGGGCAGCTTCCTGCTTCAGTTCACTTGGTTGAGAAACTTCAGTAGCCTCATAATTTCTAGTGTTCACGTTACTTCTGGTCATTATATTTCCCTCTGTGTTGCTTCTGAGATGTTCATCACCATTATACTCAGGATTTCTGCAAGCAAAAATGTTTACCACAATTGTACATGGAACAAAAGAGAAAAGCAAGGCAAATTAAAATCTTAGGAAAAGATTCAAAAGAACACCTATTTTCAATGTGCCCAATAGATGAGATATCTGCTGCTTCTGGAGCTTCATCCAAATTATTCTTCAAGGGCCTTGGTGCAAATGATTCAGAAAAGGCAGAATCAATGGCAGGTCCAAAACTTCCAAAACTCAAATGTGAACAGTCCAAGGAGTGGACTTGCAGGTGGTTTGGTATGATTAGAGATGGATTGTCCTCTTCATGTGGTGGCTCATGTTCATCACTATGCAAATTAAGCTTCTGCATATTCACAGCAACTGATGAAGAATCATCTTCAACTGAAAAAGAAAGAAACAAGATAATAAAGTGACCATAAAAACTTCCTAGCAGGTATACCATGGAATAAATCTACATCAAATGATCAAAAACTAACAGTATATCAAGGTAATAACTATATTCTAGAAAAGGGTAGATTTAAGATAAAATTTTAATTGGATCACAGGTTAAAAGTGTGTATAATTTTGGAGAAGAAAAGAGGGAGTCAAGGAAGGTGTTGTCCAACTCTAGTTGCGCTCAGGCTCATAAATCCACTTTGTTGGAGAGAGAAATGTAAAATTATTCAAAGTAAAGAATGTACGATATTTTAATTGTGTGCAAGGGGTTGGAGGTGATTGACCAACCCTAAAACATAATTGAAATTGCAAGACAATCAGAAATGGGTTGTCAAAAGAAAATTCCAAAACTGCAATCACTGTTTGCCTTAATCATAAGTGATTAATTCATGTGAATAACTAGGTCACCTTCATCGTGAATCACACAAGATCGAGTGAGTTAAAGCACTACACTAACCTTCATCATTCCCAAAACCATGCCTTTGAGGCTGATAGGAACTGATATCCTTACGCAAGTTATTATCATAAAGAGAGGAGCCTCCAGAATCATCCTCTTGTATATTTCTACTTGAAATAGAAGGAGACTGGACATGGTTATCATTGACAGTTTCAACAGGACCATCATCCCCTGTCTGAGCTTCCTCTAACTCGGATTGTATGTGTTCGTTATTTCTATCCACAGGCAATTTAGATTCATCTGCATGCAATCCAGATTCTGCAGATGCCTCAGAGATAGAGTTCACACTGACAGCAGATGGGTTGTCAATGGGGGGCCATTCATCACTTGGAGAACTATGCTGGTTTGTGGTGATATTAGGCTCATAAGTAACATCTGACACGTTCGAAGCGTGACCATGTGGTGGATGTATATTAGGATGTATTGCTGCTGCTGAAGGAGGTACTGCAGGATCCCGATTATTAACACTTTGATGAGGTGGGTTTGGTACGACAGACACCTTGTTTTGTGGCCTGCCCATCTTGACAATATCAGCCATTGATACTTGACCTGGAGCCCCCAACCAAGCAGATTGGTATCCCGAAGGTTGTGACAATGAAGAAACTCCAACTACACCTGCTGTGGATGTTTTATGTTCGGTGACAACAGCTTCACTGTAAAACTCACATATGAGAGAAGTAGCAAACCCATGAAAAACGTATCACAATTACATTGTTTATGAACCAAAAAATTAGAAATGCCATTCCAATATAGAAATGAGGAAAATTAAACTCAGTCAACTGAAAGTCTGAAACATCATAACACTTCTTTCACATAACTCTAGTCCAAACTCCACTTACCCCAGTTTTGTGAGCATTTGGGCTATTATAGTCACATCCGCCCTTGCCAAACTAGTCATCTTTTATAATGATCAGTTCACACACACAAACCAGAGCGGCTCAAAGGAGTAACTAAGTTATTTCATTAAGAATGATTTGGTATTTAACCAATATCATGATTCTCTTTGCATTCAATCAAATGCAAGCAAAAGCAAAACACAAATGTAGCAATACAAGCTACTTCAGGTCATTATAACTCAAATTCAATAGCTGCTTTTCAGCTCCTTAACTGGACAGACGAGAAATATTATCATTGAGAATCTATGGATTACCTGTGGGGAGGTCTCTGGTTCATGTTTTTTCCTTGTAGACCAGTTGCAGAAGATGAAGAGTCTGCATAAGCATGCGTTCCATTTTCCCTCTTTTGTGCAGGTTTACCATGGAAAGGGCCAGACTCTAAAAAAAAAAGAGCAGTTATGGATGAGAAACCGTCTTAAAGAGTTCCAGGACATTTTTTTCTAACCAGGTAAAAGCCAACTCTTAACAAAAATTAAATGGAGCATGTTCATATTCATACCATTAGAACTGTAATTGGATGAGCCACCACGCCCAATATATCGGTCTGAACCACTCTTACCACCACGACTCCCAAGGTTATTGGCACCACGAGATCTGGAATCAATTGTATCTTTGCTCTGGAGAAAGGGGGAAATAAGTCAAACGAGAAAACAGGAAGCAATATAACCATCACAAATCATTAAAAAAAATCAAATGAACTAACTAGGAGAGAGCTCGTCATCAGTGAAAAGTGAATCTAATTGAACACTCATTTGCAATACTGAAAGTAACTGACAACCTGACATGACGAATATATGACCACATTTCTGCCATTTATCACTTAAGTTATACAACAACAATAACAGAGGAAAAGAAAGGGACATGGTTATTAAGGAAAACGCATAGGTCGCATAAAAGTAACCGTTTGACATAATTTCCACCGGCACACACCTCTTTTTTCTTGTCCCGTTTGCTCTTCACCTCGTGAAAAGGATCTACACATTTGGCAAGCACGTTATTAGAAACGAAATACAGTGTCATTACAATAGCAGAAACTCCGTCAACTCTAAAGTTATGAAACAAAGCATCATATGTTTTCCCAATCAATTGAGAGTTACGGAGGCAGGGTTTTAGACTGTGGGCAACTGGGCATTCTCATGACCAAACTAAGCAGATTTTATCTTTACCACATTAAACCACCAAAACCCAGAAGTTATCATTCTTCAAAATAAAAATTAAAAAAATCGCTTTGATTAACAAAAAGCCGGGAAATAAAACCCATCAAATTGGGGACCAAAAAATGTTTAAAAATTAAAATAAATAGCGAAGAAAAATGGCGGGGAACCTTGAGAGAGTAGGCGATTAACGGCCTCGTTAGGGTTCATGTTACACTCTTTAAGCGTATCATAGATCTCGGGTTCAGGGCAGTTCACAATCTCCTTCAAGCTCTGGACTATCTTCCGAGACCCAGCCGGAATACCTGAAATTCCACTACTGCCCTTCCCTAACCCATTATTTCCACCACCTCCTCCTTTCCCGCTCATCCTCTCTCTCCGGGTACCCCCTCTCCAAACAGTTTCGCTTAGGTCTCTCTCAGATCTGAGAGAGAGAAAAAACGACGTGGTTAACGCTTTGAGCTTTTTGTCTTTCTCTTCTCTCGACAGAAATAGAAGGCAGCACGTAGCAACGAAGAGGTAAGGGAAGGATAAAACTCTTCGAAACAACGATTTATAAAAGAAGGGAAGTTATTTTCTCTTTTGAAGCGAAAACCCTCTGGGGTTGTGGCCGCGTATGTGTCCAATTTTATTCTTTAAGTTTTAAAATACTTGTTTCCGAAGGAAAAAAATAGAAAAAAAAATTAACATCTCATAAAACTAATAAAAAATTGATTTTTTCGTTTTCTTTAAATGCTTCAACTAATAAAACTGCAGTGGGTTTGGACGACGAGTTTTAAGATTTTAAAGATTTTAAAAATTTTAATAATATCGATATTTTTAAATTTATCAGTTCAGAATATTACGTATTATAATTATAATATTTGGATAAATAATTTTAAAAAATATTTAAATTTCATAAATAATTTAATATTTATACATAATATCATTATAAATAAAATAAAAAACTGGATAAAAAATGAATATAAAAAATGTTACTCTCTTCATAGAAAAAATTGGATAAAGTAAGCTCTCTCTGTGTAAGTTTACACGGCTCATGGGCTGTCTCATTCACTAATCGCTTTCCCCCCAATATATCCACAGCCCAATTCTCATGAATGCTCTCAAAATCTCCGCCCCCTTAAGTTTTTCTAAGAAATCAATTAAATCGGGGCCCAATTAATGATGTTTACATGCACAAGTTAATTATTATTTGTAGTTTGTATATAGGTAATTATCGGGTTGGTGTTATTAATTAATTAGATATAGATTCAATTAATAAATAATTAAGATATTATCATTTTTTAAGTAATAATTAATATTATAATAATATAGTTTATGTTTATATACAATATTTAAATAAAATAATTAAAATACTATTTCAAACACCAAATGTAAAATTAATAAATTTATATATAAACATTTATCATTTCACCTATAATTTTTTAAGAAATATAAATATACTTTTTTTATACTCACGTCGTATAATCTTATTAATACAATCTGGTTGGTTTTGTCATACGGAGATTCCTGCTTGCATCGTGTAGCCATACCGGGCAAGGGCATTGGCCACACTGTTAGCTTTCCGTGGGATGAGTGCGAACTCGAGTATCCATTATTTTTCCTAATACAATCTGGTTGGTCTTGTCATACGGTTGGGAGGGATCCACAGTACCAGAATAATGTTGTTGCTGATACTGCCTAAATGGTTTCACTGCCTGTTGTTGTATGCATTTTTCCTTCATACTATCATCTGTGCTTTTAGTTAGTTTTTTTTTTTTTGTGTGTGTGTGTGAAACAAATGCCTTCCCCGTTGGATTCTAGAAACTCTATTCATTAAGTGGTCGGTGTGAATTTTGCTCAAGTAATTGTTCGAAAAGAAATGTCTAAGGAACTAGAATTGGCTTGGTGACTGTATTCAAGGTAGATTTGAATTTCTAGGGCTTCTCTAACCATGGAAAAAATAAGAGTTTCCGGGGACAAAATAAATATATAACAGTACAAGTATGAATGAACACATGCTGTTTTCTGCACATAGAGAGAAGCCTGTAAAAATTGTTTGTCTTTAATTTGTTGTTCAGATGCAAATAAGTCGGCTAATAATCAGTTTCTGTGCAGGTTTTGGTGAATAACAGAACTGCTAGTGCAAGTGAAATTGTGAGTAGACCGGTTGCCCTCTATCTATGATTGCTTTTCGTTTCACAACGGGATAATGATTTGTATAGCCCCTGACCTATTAGAAAATGTCTATTTTGGTACTTGAACTTGAAAAAGTTTTATTTGGTATTTTCCTCAACTTCCATTCCATCCTAACACGATACCTGCATTAATGACGTGTTGCATCCATAATTTTGACACATATGCAGATATTGCTCGTGTGTGATATGTGGCTACCATGTAGTTATCCAGTGCCATAATTTATTTAAAAAGATTAGTTTTTTTGCTTTTATTTTAGTCTTTTCTCAACCCCATCTTTTACTTCTCTCCTTGATTCCCCTATCCTCCCCCACTATGGCCGGATCTGGTCATTACCTGACCAGGCTTTGCCAGAAGGGTATGCCTGACCTAATCAGGCCATTTCTAGCCTCTTTAAAGATCAGCCACCATTCCTGTGGCATGATCCAGCCGTAGGTGTGGAAGAGTAGGGGGAAGGAGGGGAAAAATGAGAGTAAAAGAAAGAAAATATAACAATTAACTCCAATTTGATCTTTAAATTTAAAATTGTGAAGTTTTTTTTATTATTGAAAATATGTTTGTTAATTATGATTTGGTATTTTCCAAAAAGAACAAAAAAATTATAAGAAATCAAATCTAATATGTATGAAAAAGAAGAAAATGATCTTTTGGGGGAATAACTCATAAATATGTTTCTTTTTCCTTTTCTGTCTTTTCTCATATCATCATGTGGTAGTCCCATGTTATCCACATGGCAATATTCATGTACGTCAAATTTTTATTGATTGGTTACCACATCATTGGTTTTTGTTAACTGTGTAAAGCCATGGGGAGATTGGTGAACAAATTGAAAGTTTAGGTACCCAACTATACATATACTTCAGTTCCGGCACCACATTAGACATTTTCTAATAACTCAGGGGTTGTATAGGACAAATTCCCTTTCACAGTTGCATTTATTCTAAACTGTAAAGCTGTTCTTGTTGGGGAGAGGACTTTTGGCAAGGTTTGACGTTTACCTGAGTTTCTGGAACTCAAGCTCTCCCTAGTTCTCTTTTCTATATCATTTGTCTATCTTGAACACCCCTGCCCAATCAAGCTGAAATGAATTTTATACCGTCTGGTTGGTGTCGTTGACTCGCTGTTTTTGGACCACGATGAAACTTCTCATGGCTGGAAATTGAAATCATTATTTCAGTTAAATGGAAAGCCATTTTTAAAGTTTCCATGTTAAAAGGATTGAGCTAAAGTCTTTTAATGATCTGTTTATTGAACTAATGGAAATAGATATTAGCCTTGATTATACATCTTGAAAACATTGTCTTCTGGAATCTGATACAAACCCTTATTGTCCGTTACAGGGTCTAATTCAATCTGTCTTTGAACTTCGTGATGGATCTGGGGTGGTTGTCACTGTTGGAAAGTATGAGACACCAAGTCATTTGGACATCAATGGCAATGGAATCGTACCTGACTATAGAAACTTCCCAGGTAATTACTTCTTTCGCGGTTCAAGCCGACGGAAATTAATTCCGTATCTCGAGCCCCGTCATGCAAGGAATCCAAAAACTATGTTCTCCATTTGATTCCTTTGTTGTTAGAAAGATCTATCTTTTACTAGTCCCAGCTGTTCAAAACTCAAAATGTAACCTAAAGGCCACCTTAGATTTCCTAACACTGACGATGAATCGAAAGTATCCGATATCTGATTAACACTGCTGTATATGCAGCAGCTTGGAGCGATATTGCACAGCATCTGTCAAGATGCAATTTGCTTCGACGATCTGGATTTGCTTGCCCAGTAGGTGCACTTGAGGATTTGAGATGAAAATGCAGAGTTAAGAGCTGTTTTGCTTCCACGCAGGCCTTTGACATATATCCGTTAACATGTCAAAGTGGGATTACAGAATAGATTTGGTGGATTCAGAGTTTTAGCGGATATAACACCAGCATAAGTAAAACGGACAGTCGGGACGAATTTACCACGAGACAACGGAGACAATTTCCCCACCTGAAAATCCTTCATACAATAATACTTTGTAATTCTTATCGTCAATAAAATAATATATTTATTTGTTCAATTATCATTAGAAGATAGTTACAGTACCGAGTAGTAAAGATCATTTCATAATGCATGTTAAATCATCACAATTTTTTTTTTGTGTGTGGAAAAAGTTAATATTTTTTGTTATTTGCATAGCATTTATATAATTAATTCCAAATAATTAAACATCTTTATATTATACATGATTTAAGAAGCACTGGATTTAAATTCCCAGCAGACCACCCTTTTTGGGCTTTTCCTATGAATTAATTTTCCCTCCTTTTGGCACCTTCCGTTGCTTGCTAATTCCAACATCCTTATGCCTCCCTTCTCAAGTTTTCTTATATTCTCCTTTCTCTGTTTCCATCTCTCTTCTATACAAGGAAGCTTTGATTCTTCATGTTTCCATTTTATTTTATTTTATGTCGGGATGATTACTATACCCTTCTTTGCAATACCTCCATGGCCCTTCTCTTTGTTTTATTATATAAATACCTATTTCTTCTACAATATTGTTCTTACTAAACAAGATTTTCATTACCTATTACCATTCAAGCACATTCAAGACATGGATTTTAGACTTGTTCAGTTTCTCACAATATTTCTCTTGCATCTTTTCCTATGTTCAGGTGATTGCTATATACTTATATCCACGTCTTTAAATCTTCATCTCTTGTCATGTTTATATATTTTTATGGGAAACTTGATTTTGGTTTTGCCCCAAATCTTGTTAGGATTTTGTATTAATGCTTGAAACAATTCTCATCTGAATGAGTGAATGTTTCTCTGGAAAATTTATGTCAAACCAATACTTAACTTGCTTTTAATCTCCAGGTTCAAGTATTTCCAGGAAACCTCCCCTCCGAGAAATCAATCGGAGAAAACAAAGCAGCCAAGAATCGCGGCTGCTCCTCGATCCTTCAATATCCACTACACTACTAGATAATGTCCCCATTGTTAACCCTACAACTCCAGGAACAAGTCCAAATCCGACATCTCCGTCAACTGAGCCAAGCACCAACCCGGCTACCCCGATCACAACTCCAACAGCACCGACCACAAATCCAACAACACCGACCACAACTCCAACAACACCGACCACAACTCCGACAACCCAAAACCCAACTCCTTCGACATCATCGGGAGGTTCCTGGTGTATTGCAAATCAAGGTGCTTCAACAACTGCTCTACAGGTAGCTCTAGACTATGCCTGCGGGTATGGCGGTGCGGACTGCTCAGCAATTCAACCTGGAGGAAGTTGCTATGAACCCAGCACGGTTCAGAATCACGCTTCTTATGCTTTCAATGATTACTACCAGAAACACCCTGATCCGACGAGCTGTGTTTTTGGAGGCACTGCTCAGCTTACAAATACAGACCCAAGTATGATATTCTGGGGGGGGGGGATCAACTTGTTTTTAAACTACAGTTTATTATAATCTTTCAATTAAAATTTGCCTTTGTATGTTGATCCAGGTAATGGGAACTGTCACTATGCAGCATCTTCGCCAACAGGGTAAAAATCTTACAATTACCATGGGACCAGCTCTCATATCAGTGTTATTTTCAATAGAGACTATATGTGTTGCTTATATTTTTCCTTTTAACATGTAAACACAGCGTGACTCCGCCAGCCAGCATAACACCACCGGCCACCCTACCACCACCGGATATCTCGACCATGACCCCACCCTTTGCGATGAGCCCCCCTTTCACCGGACCGGGTGGAGACACAGTTTATGGTTCGGCAGAACCAACAGGACTCCCAAGCTCAGCCAGCTCTATGTCATTCAGCTACGTGCTGATCTTTGCCACAATGTCACTTCTTGTTGCATACGAACTCGGGCCATAAAGGAAACAACTTTCAGTTTCTTCTTTTCCATGATCCGATTGCAACTTCTTTGGCTCTCCAACTGAGTTTGAGAAACTTTCAGCAAACTTGGGAATCGACAATGAGAGTCATGTTCTCACCGTTAAGATCTAAATATTTATATACTTGTTGATCTATGTATACATAAAAGCTGGTTAGAAAAACACCAAAGAAGAGCATAGAATCTCTTAGGTTCTTGTACTCATAGATAAGTTAAGAATATGATAGCTGCTTTTGCAGAATGATTGTTAGATGCACAGTAAAGTTATTAGAGATGCCCTGCTGGGCTTTGGCTATAGGAATTAATGATTTTTCAGAAAAAAAATCGTCCGACTTAGCTAGTTCATTACGCTAGATTTAATTCTTTTTTTACTTTATAATTATTCCTAGGCTAGCTTTTAATTATTTATCTCCAGTAAAATTCATACAGGATTTTCTCATTTCATTTCAATACCAATATTTTAAACGCATGCTATGTCAACCCAACAAAGCGTCTAATAATAACAAAACTGGTAACATCTTTCTTTAGCCGTATATTAAAACTGTTGTACGTGAGATTTTCCCCAATGACACATGAACTTCTGGAACCACTTGAATAAGTGAAAGCTGCAGTGTATAAAGAGGAACTAAAATAGACGTGTAATCTTCCCATGCAATTAAAAAACTGTGTATAATAAAATTAAAATTAAAGATAATATATATAATTTAATTAAAATTAAAGATCCGTATGTATAATTACACTAAATAAAGATCATATTTTACATTGCACATTTAATTAAAATTGATATATAATTTTAATAATTATCTCGACAATAATCATATATTTTACAATTAATTCGTGATATCTAAATACGCCCTTAACAAATTTACCTGTTAGATTGCTCAATAAAATCAAAATAAGTTAGGCCTACTTAACTCATCAACCTGTATTTTCAATCAAGCGCATATTATTATCTGGGCCCACTTTTCTTGTAAGTATAGTAAAATGCGATAATCTGGTCCGTCGCCCAATTGGGCATTCGCGAAATAAAAATTTATATTCTCAAAGGAAGGTCGGGATCGCCATTGCGCCAATTTGATGCGGTGGGTAGGCCGCAGAGTTGTTTTCTTGCTTGGTAGCGAAAATGGAGGTACACATTTCTAAAACTGAAACAGAGTGGCAGCCTCAGAAAGGAGATTCTTTAGGTAAACACTTGCTTAATAAGTAAATATTAATTCCTAGCCTTTTGTTTTTTTTTACCCCTTTGTATCTCTTGTTTATCTTTGAAATCGTGTGTTTTCGTCCTTCTACTCCTTGTTTTTCTGTAGAGGTTTCTGGTGAGCAGAAACTTAAAGAACTTATTGCTGAAGGCGAATTGGACTTTGATGGGTGGACTAAGCTTATCTTGGAGGTTGAGAATTTGTTCCATGTAAGTTTATTTAATCAGTTTTCTATTCCTTTGAGTTTTCTGATAAATGGGTTACTCATATTCATAATGTTTCATGTTGATCATTTGCAGGCTGACATACAGAAAATATGTTTAGTTTATGATTCCTTCTTGTCTGAGTTTCCTTTGTGCTATGGTTACTGGAGGAAGTATGCTGATCACATGCTACGCTTATGCACCGTTGACAAAGCTGTTGATGTCTTTGAACGAGCTGTGCAATCGGCAACGTACTCCCTTGGTGTTTGGGTTGACTATTGTGGCTTTGCTGTTTCAGTTTTTGAAGATGATAATGATATTCGTTGGTAATCCCAATGCTTGAAATTGTAGTATGTGTTAAGAAACAAGCAATGGATGTAAACACAAGAGCTGTTTGCTTCTTTGATGCTTTTCTTATTCTTGGAATATTAGTTAGACTAATAACCATGCTACCTGACAAAAGTTATCTTTTTATTACCAAAGGTTTTGTAATAAAAGAGATGTTTACTTAACTATAACATTCAAGAACGTACACTGATAAATGCACAATCCTGGAAGTTGATGAATGCATGTTGCCCTTTAGGAATGTGCTTAGTGCCTAAAGTCTTTTAATGACAAGAAAAATTGCCTTCTGAGTTACTTGTATCCTTGGTTTTAATAAGGTTGGACAATGAAATATTGATTGAAGTGATATGATTGTTTGAGAAAATTGCACTTAACTCTGTGTTGGTTAAGCTGAACAGATGGACTAACCACCATACTCCGTTGAGGTTGGCAGAACTGAATCTTTATTATGTTAGCTTTATTTATAAGATCCTGAAATTGTTTTAAGGATAAGATTGTATATTTGTCTCTTCATGCGGATATCTGGATTATTATATATCAATTTGTTTTCAAAATACTATCTGGTTTGGCCTAACATAAAGAGCCATGTCCTTTGTTGGAAAGGATTACTTATGTCATACCTTGTGGGATAAGTATCTCGAGTTTGAGTTTTCTCGGCAACAATGGAGTTCCTTAGCTAATGTTTATATCCAAACTCTAAGATTTCCATCCAAAAAGCTACATCATTATTATGAAAGGTATTTTCACTTGTTTATAGAAACCTTGAGAGGAGTCCTTAGTTTTTCTTTTGTACTAGTTTGTACACCTATATTTACGTGGTTATGTTATTATTAATATTGTCCGCTATGATTTCTAAGAAAGTGTTGTTTCATGGACTAAAAAAGCTAACAAGAACACTTCAGAAAAAGTGGACTTGCAAAATCCAGCTGAATTTATTGGCATTGTACTGGAATATTGCATCATAGATTCATAGTAAAACCTCCCGTCCAACTAGTTTACAGAGAACATGTATTTTGGACCATAAAAGAGTATTTGTTTTTCACTTGCTACAGATCTAACCTTTAAATCCAATAATATGATGTGTCTACCTCATCATTTACTGGGCTGCTTAGTAACCACAGTGCATTACTAAAAGCTCTGATAATTTCATGGTATTCTACATGTATTTATGAGATTCTTCATCTGATTGGTTATTAAGGTGGTGGTATTATGCTTCAGCACTTCTTTGATTTGGGTAGTTGCTGATGTATTAGCTTAGTATGATATTATCTAGCATGTCTTCAATTTTTGTTGTGTAGTTGCATGATATTTTTCCTTTATTTCTCTGTTTGTTTGCCTCTTATCATTTGATGCTATGATATAGTTATCGTACAACCATCTGTGTATGTCTTCAGTTTCCAGATGTTGACTGCCACTTGGAAAGAGGAGTTGCAATTTCCAAATGAAATGGATTTGCAATTAGATCCCAAAGTAGAAAATGAAGTCTCTTCATGTTCCACTGATGCAGAAATTTCTTGTGTAATCAAAAACTTGGTGAATGCTTCTACTGGAATAGATGGAGCTAAAGCACTAACAAATTACTTGTCCATTGGGAAGCAACTTTATCATGAGGCGTCCAAGTTGGATGAGAAAATACATCACTTTGAGGCTGGCATTCGAAGGTCTTACTTTCATGTAAAGGAGCTTGACATCAGTCAACTGGAGAACTGGCATGAGTATTTAAACTTTGTAGAGATGCATGGTGATTTTGATTGGGTATGGCATATAAATGTGGTGCTTATCTTTTCTTGCCTTTAACTGGTATCTGATTCTTCTTTTGCATTGTAGGCTGTTAAACTTTATGAGAGATGCCTAATTCCATGCGCTAACTATCCTGAGTTTTGGATGCGATATGTGGATTTCATGGAAAGTAAGGGTGGAAGAGAGATAGCAAACCTTGCACTGGCCCGAGCTACAGAAATTTTTCTTAAGGTTCTTATCCTTGTACTGTGCTATACTATTTCATAAAAGTGATACGATTGTTTTAATGGATACTACCAATTTAGAACATATTATCTTCTAGTTTGCAATTTGCATTATGTAGTTTATTTCAATTTGATGATGGTGTATGATAGTTCCAAGTTACTATTGTTGTACTGGACTATTGAGGAATACTTATTTTCATCAGAACTAAGAAATTATAATCTCAACATTCCTGTGTTATCCTTTAGGCAACTCGAGTGAAACAACATGTGTTATCCTTTATACTCTTCTTTTGCATTGTTAATAAATTCCTGTGTTATCTTTTCTACATTTCCATTTCCAATCAACTCGAGTGACCTATCATCCCTTGTGCTACTTTTTTAGATTTCCAAAACTCTGTTAATAATTTCAAAGCTGTTTTTTCCATACTGAAACTTTAGTTCACTGCTATTTATAGGATGCTTTCTCCATACTCATTTATGAGTATTATTAGGAAATAGAGGTTCTTCTCGTGAAAAAAGAATAGGAGAGAGAGTGAGAACGAGAGCGACAGAGAAGTCAAAAAGTCAATCTTCCTCCAGTGAGATATGGACAACGTTTGTGGATAATCTGAGTCGGAGAGTGTCAAGGAGTGCGTTTGAGGGAGTTGTTTCAATATCATGGGTCGGTAAGTAGAATCTTCATCCCGAGTGTATTGAATAAACCAAAATATAAAGCCTATACGTTTGCATTTGTTCAATTTAAGAATGAGAAGAGTATGATGAATGCAATCGCGAAAGTTAACGGATCGTTGATTGATGGAAGGAAAGTATCAGTGGGGGTAATGAAGTACCAGAAATCTCGAAGAGGTTCAACCATAGTAGGTAGAGTTAAGACAGAAAAAAAATTCATTTGATAATGTAAAGGGTAAAAACAGGGCCAGAAATGAGACCCTGAGTGGTATAAGAGATGATAGGTCTTACAAAGAAGTGTTGATTCAGAACAAGAGTTTAAGGGTAGATCATAAGTCGTGGGAAAACAGAGTGGGGTCTTCAAAAGCAGGAACAATAATTAGGAATTTATGGGAGATACATTTTACTGCGAAAGAGACGAATTGGATGAAGAGCTCATTGACGAGGGTCATTAAGGCATCCGTTGAGTTGGAACTGGTTCAGAAGGCTTTGCACAGTGATGGCATTGATGTGAAGTTGGTAAGCTGGGGATATGCATGAAACTCTTGCATTATCACTTTTCAGTCGGTTGAAGCATTTTTTGAGACAGAATAGTAAGAAAGATGAATTGTGCTTCTGGCTTGACTGGGTGGCACCGCTTTTTGATGAAAACGGTATTCCAATGGCGTACTGTTTGGTTGAATTGTATGGAGTTCCTTTTCTAATGTTGGCAGAAATCCTTCTTACAGAGGTTGGCTGAAAGTTGGGGAACGGTGGTAGAAATCTCGAAGGCAACAAGGAACAGAGAAGATATGTCAGTAGCAATATTGATGATTAGAGTGGCAAGCCCCTTCGATGTTCCAAAGATGATCACGTTAGGAGCATATGGAAGATCTTTCAAAGTCAGAATCAGAATGGGGTCGGTTTTTCAGAAACCGAGTTATCTTCGGGAGAAAGAACCATATGAGATTTCAGAGGACCAATGGACCGAGGAATCGTCGGAGGAGAACCAAGACGGTGGAAGGCAGGTGGTGCTGGTTGAGGGAGATGAAAAGTCAAATGATGAGTCCCGAAACAGGGTAGTCGCGTGGTTTGCAGATGGAAGGACAGATGGTGCTTCAGAGGAGAGGTGGAGACAATAGTTTTTATTGCTGGGTAAGGAGAACGAAATTATTAATGAAGGGGGGATAGACTGCCTTGAACATAGAAGAGTTTTAATTGGGGATTACGCGGGCCTTGGGTTAAGAGAAAATATAAATTCATCCTTTAACGAGCAGGCTCAATCAAATAAGAGATCCCAGATCGCATAATTTCAGAATTTTTCCTTCAGGGCCAGCAATTAATATAGCTTATGGGGAGTGTAGGAACAAGGTTGGAGATATGGCCCAAATCCAATTGGTGGTTGAGGGGGATGGGTCTGGCGGAATGGAGGAGATAAAATCATTTCCTAAAAGCGGTGGAGAAGATGGTTTAAAAGAAAGCAGTGGGTCTCCACTCCTTGTTGATTGTAATACCTCAGTAAGAAGCGAAGCAAATGGTAGGGTCAAGAAGAGGTTTTTTGAAAGAGTTTATCGCAGGTCAAGGGGAAAAAGATAGATGCAGATCGAAAGTGGGTGGCAACTCGGTGCATATTCAAGAAGTTAACGAGGAATTAAATGCCACCTGGGAGGTTAGTAAATTGATGGGTATAACATTTCGAGGTGGGAAAAAAGCTTTTGCAAGGAAATTTGAAGATTTGGGAAAAAACAAGGTTGTGGAAGCGGGGAATTGAGTTCCCATCTTCGCAAGAGGTAGTCGAACCATTTCAATGTCAATTTTTTCAGGTGTATCTTGGAATATCAGGGGGGTTGGGAAGGAAAGAGAAGGTAAGGGCACCGTGGAGCTTGATTTCAAGGAGAAAACCAGTTATTGTGTTTTTGCATGAGACAAAATTGGAGTCTGTGAATCAGGCGTTACTGAGGAAGTCAGGCAGGAAGAGATTAAAAGGGTTGGTCTCCTCTCTTTCAGAAGGGGCAGCTGGTGGTTTAATTAGTATTTGGGATGAAGATTGATTCGAGTTAGAGCAACAATTTATTTGTAGAAGGTTTGAAGCAGTGAAGGGCAAAGTTAAGGATAATGGAGAGGAATGTTGTTTGGTCAACTTGTATGGTCCGACAGTTGAATTAGAAAAAGAGAGTTATTTTTAGGAACTTCTAATTTTCTTAGAGCAAATGGAATGTTGTTTATGTGTAGGGGGACTTTAATGCATATTTGTCCTCGGGGGAGAAGCAAGGAAAATCACAGAATATTCATTCTATGAGATTGTTAGGTGATTTTGTTTTTCAGGAAAAGCTAACAGATTTTCCATTATCCGGCTGGAATTTTACGTGGTGCAACAATAGGGATTCTCCCGCTTTTGTCAGACTCGATCGATTTTTAGTGAATTACAGATTCTTGAGTATTTATCCAGATGTTGTTTAGACTCTTCTCCCAAAATCGTTATCAGATCATAATGCGATACTACTTGAAAGGAGTGCGGTTAATTGGGGTCCAAAACCGTTCAGACTTTTTAATTATTTGATGGAAGAACAGGGATTTCAGGAAATGATGGAATCAACTTTGGAATAGATGGAAAAAGATAAGAGGAGTGGAATTGCAAAAATGTTGAACGAATTGAAGAGAGTAATAAGAAGTTGAACGAATAATAAACATCTCTTGATGTCGGGAAGGATTTTAGAGCTAGAGAAGGCTATTTCTGAAATGGAGGCAAATATACAACAAGGGTTAAATTCAGTTTCGTGGGATGATATTGTGAAGGCAAAGAGGGAATTGTGGGATTTGTACAAAAAAAGAGAAATTAATCTGGTTTCTCGCCAGAAATGAATTTCAAACAGGGATTGAAATTCCAGATATTTTCATCACTATGCAGCGAATAGGGGGAGGGTTAATACCCTGAAGGTACTGAAAGTTAATGGTGAATGGGTCTCTGACCCTGGTCAGATTAAATTGAGTGTGTTTTTAGTTTTTTCAAGGAGGTCTATAATAGGAAACCAAATGTGGGAGTGGATAAAGTGGACCTTGAGTTTGCCAGATTATCGGAAGCACAAAGTTCGATGTTGGAAAGGACTTTTGCGGAGAAGGAAATTTGGGAAGCAATTGCATCCTCAGATAGCAACAAGGCGCTAGGACCGAATGGTTTAAATTTTGGTTTTTTAAAGATATTTTGGCCTGTTTTGAAGGATGAGATCCGAATGTTTTTTTTGGACTTTTATTTAGGGAAAAGGTGGGAGAAAGAAGTGAATCTTTAATTTATTTCATTGATACCTAAAAAATTAAATCCGGAGAGTTTGGAAGATTATCGGCCTATTAGTTTAGTTGGCGGTCTTTACAAAAGTTTGTAGAAGGTTCTCTCAAGAAGACTGAGGACTTGCATAGATTCTCTTTATAAGTCCGGCTCAATTTGCATTTGTACCAAGGAGGCAGATTCTGGATTGCTCCTTTATAGCAAATGAAGGGATTATTTTTTGAGAAGAAAAGGGTTGAAAGGTGTTGCTTTTAAAGTGGATTTCAAAAGAGCTTACGATTCAATAGATTGGTTGATTTTGTTCAAGGTTATGGAATATATGGGGTTTGGGCAGCGGTGGCGTTCTTGGATTTTAAAGTGTTTATCTTCAGCTTCAATCTCCATCTTGGTTAACGGCTCCCCAACTGAAAAATTTAAGATATCTAGGGGTTACGCCAAGGGTGTTCGTTATCACCGCTGTTGTTTAATTTAGTGGGTGAGATGTTAAGTTTGATGCTGACTAAGGTGGTGAAGATGGGTCTTTTTAGTAGGTTTCAGATCGGCAGTACGAATATGGCATCCCACAGTCTCATTTGTAGTTCGTCGATGATCTGTTAATTTTCTGTGGTGCTTCGGAAGGGCAATTGGAGAATGTGAAGAGAGTATTAACCATTTTTTAATTGTGTTCGGGGCTTCAACTAAATTTGTAGCAGAATTTTTGGTATTAATGTTAATGCATCATGCATCAAAGCGTGGGCAAACTCGATTGGATGCTCGGTTGGATTCTTTCCAACGAAATACCTTGGTCTTCCCCTTGGTTCGACGAAAAATTCGATTACGTTATGGGAACCAATAATCCAGAGATGTTACCAGAAATTGATGGGTTGGAAAGCAAATACTCTTTCTTTGGCAGGGAGGGCAGTGTTGGTGAAGTCGATTTTAAGCGCTTTGCCAATTTATTTTGTCGTTTAGAATGCCAAATAAGATTATGAGGAAATTGAATTCTATTATGGCACACTTTTTATGGGGTGGTTCGTCTCAAAAAAATCGTATCCATTGGGTGAATTGGTAGATTGTGTGCAGACCTAAAGGTCAAGGGGGTTTGGGTATAATTGATCTAAACTCTATGAATATGGTTCTCTTAGGAAAATGGGCATGGAAGTTTGCTACGGAAAAAGATTTTTGGTGGAAGAAATTAGTGTGTTGTAAGTATAATTTGGATAATAGATTAAGTTTGATGGACAATGGGGTATCCTATGAGTCATCTTGGATATAGAGAGGAGTGGTTAATAACTGCTGGCGAATGATGCTTTTGGTCATTGTTTTAGGAATCGTTTTCAATTACGAGTTGGAAAGGGGAATGATTTCTTGTTTTGGTCTGATAGGTGGATTTGCAATGTCTCGCTTAAATTAGTCTGATAGGTTGATTTGCAATGTCTCGCTTAGATCAAAATTTCTGAGATTGTTCTCCCTTTCCGCTAATAAAGAGGGTAAAATATCTGAGTTTGGATTTTATAATGCAGGGGCTTGGTGTTGGGATATACTGTTTCAAAGAAGTTTATTAGACTGGGAAGTAGAGCAGTGGGTGGAACTAATATTGTTATTAAGCAATGCTAGTATTCGAATTGATGAGAATGATCAATGTGTATAGACGGGGAACGAGGAAGGTTTTATTAGGTAAAATCATGTGTTAAATTATTGTCAGAAGGGTATGTTGAAGACCCGTTTTGGTCGAAGCTGGTTTGGATTGGTTATGCCACCCCAAGAGTGGAGGCATTTATGTGGCAGGTTTTGCATCAAAAATTGGCTATTAAATCTGAACTTTTAAAGCGTGGTATTAGTGGGATAGAGAACATTTTATCCCCGCTATGTGGTTTGCATCAAGAGACGATTTCTCACCTATTTTTTTCGTGTTCTATTGCGTAGGACCTTTGGGGATGTTTCTTAAGATTGTGGAACCTAACCACGGTCCTTCCAGAGCATCCTAATGTCTTCTTATCGTCTTGGGAAAGCCTTGTTCCAAAGTCTATAATTTGGAATTTTATTCCGAGAGCTGTAATGTAGTCAGTTTGGAAGTGTCGGAACCATGTGATTTTCGAGAAGGGAATCATTGATCTTAATCATTTGTTCTTTTTATCTAGATATAGAGTGGCGGCGTGGTTTTCGGCAAAATTTCCTAATTTTTCACTTCTCTTTGATTGCCTTGTTGGTGACTCGAAGCTGGATGATTCAAGTAACCCGTCCATGTAGATTAATCTTTCACCGGTCTTGTGGAGTCCTCCCTTGGGTTTCTTTAAAATTAATGTGGATGGGGCAGTAAAAAGAGATTGGGAAAGCAACAATATTGGGGAAATACTAAGAAATGAAGAGAGCAAGGTTTTGGGCTCATTTTCGACTTTAGCTGGTCCAAACCCCCTATTTTAGCTGAATTGAAGGCCTTCAAGTTGGTTTAGTTTTGTTTGTGGATTCAGAGTGGTGTGGCAAGGGTGGCTAATTGTAGAGACTGACTCAACAAATGTAGTAAATTGGATTAAGAATCCAGAAGTGTGTCCTACCGTATTTTCACATCTAGTTAAGGAAATTGTCAGTGTTGTTTTCGCGCATAGTGTTATTATAAAGCTTGTAAAAAGGTCTGTTAATTGGGAGGCAGACAGGTTGGCTAAGGCGGGTATAGGGTAGTAGTTCAGTATTGTGTGGTTGTAGAGAGGTAAGAGGTTATTGGGGGTGTTTGTAATAGCCGGCTGTTGTATGAAGTGTAATTTATTTTTGGAATAATATTTGAGGCACTCTTTTCCTCTTTCCAATGTCCGCTGATGTATTTTTGTACAGCAGTGGTTATGAAGGGGTTTTTAACAAGGCCTCGTTTCTTTATAAAAAAAAAATAGGATGCTTTCTCCATTGCTTTATATGTGATTGGAGATGTTTATGGCCCTCCTCATATGTCCGTTGCAGAGAATGCCAGTGATCCACCTTTTCAGTGCTAGGTTTAAGGAGAAAATAAGGGATGTTTCAGGTGCACATGTAGCACTTCTACATTATGAGACAGAATCAGATCTTAGCCTTGTTGAAATTGTATCAATAAAAGCTAACCTGGAAAAGCGATTGGTAAGCAGTTCTCTATCTTCATTTAGACTATAAGAATGGGCTTGGTTGTGAGTAATTACTTATATATCTATGTGCTTTCTCCAATTTGTCAGGGCAACTTTGTAGCAGCTTCTAATACATACAAAGAGGCAGTGGAAATTGCTTCTGCAAAGCAAAAGTTTGCCATTCTTCCCATATTGTATATTAATTTTTCACGACTTCAATACATGGTGGGTAAAGGATTTTCCTTGCTCTATTCAACCTAAACCGTCTATGTGCTATTTTTTTTCTTACATCAATTTTTTTTTGGATAAGAATTTCAGCACTCGTTAAAAACCCCCTTCTTGATTAATGGATCTTTTAGGAAAGCTCCTTAATCAGCGGAAGGTGGAAAAGAGTGCCTTAGGATTTTATTAATCAAAGACAAAGTACATAAAATACAACTAGAAGACAAACTAACAAAACCTAAAAATTACAGAACATAGAAAGCAAAACCCTAATGCGACCAGACCTCCCTTAAACAACACCAAAACTAACTCAGCCCCAACAACCTCAATAGACCACCAACCCTACTGAAAAACCTCTAAGGCAACCTTCATTAATAATCTAATCCCCTGTTTAGCTAAAGTATCAGCCTCAAAATTGCAGCTCCTCGGGATATGTCTAATAATTATCTCCCTCTCCAAGATTAGGGAAGCAATTTTCTGAACCAACGAACTAAAAAAACGTGGAGATGATGTCGGCAGTAAAATCCAATCCACTACTGATTTACAATCACTCTCTATAATTAACCTTCCCTTCCTCCCAATCCGACGAGAGAAAAAAGTCAATGCCTTTCTCAATGGCTTTCAGCTCAGCGAGTGGAGGAGGACCTGGTCCAACAGCGTGCGAGAAAGACCCAAGAATTTTACTTTCTGAATCTCTTAAAATGCCCCCAATTCCCCCTAGCAGCCCGTCCCCACTGACTGCCCCATCAACGTTAACTTTATAAAAATGAAGTGGAGGAGGAAGCCAGCCCTGAACCTTCATCCTTTTAAGGTCCCTAGTATGATGCTTGTCTGCAAGTGTAGGGTCCCCTACAAGGGAGTCTACCTGACTAATGACGTCCGGGTGCTTAGCCAGGAACCATTTAGCCAATCTAAATCTACAAATGAAGAAAAGAGTATGGCTGTCCAGTTTCCAATCATCGAAAACCACCGAGTTTCTAGCCTTACATAATGACCATAGAACTACACCCGGTATAAAGCTCCATATTAGAGAATTTGGCCTCATGTCCGACCAAGAACACAACATAGAGACGGATCTTTAGGTAAGACTGACGAGACTTCCCATAACCTCCAAAAACTGCTCCATAGGTCCCATGCAACCAAACACGATATGAACAAGTGCTGAACTGTTTCTTCCTGCTTAGCACAAAACGGACAAGAGACCTCCTCCAATGTAACACCTCTTCTTGTCAACTCCGTTCTAACTGCCAATCTTTGATGAGAGACCTGTCACAGAAAAGTTTCGACTCTTGGGGGAGCCAAACCTGACCAAACGAACCTTTTCCACTTGAAACTACCCCCTGAATTTGTAGAAAGAGTCAACCTACATGCTTTAGCGGTGAACAGTCCATCTCCCTTCCCCGACCACGCCAGAAAATCATCCACCGATTCAGACAGACCAACATTCTCCAATAATGACATCAATTGAATCCAGTAATCCAGCTCCCAATCACATAGATTCCTTCTCGTTTGAATGGTCCAAATCCATCTATTACTCAAGAAACTGCCAAACTCTAAAACTTTTCCCCACTTGTTATTGGAAAGAACATAGATCCTTGGAAATTGATTCTTTAAAGAATCCTCATTTAGCCAAACATCGTGCCAGAATACAATAGACTTGCCATTGCCTACTTGAATCTTCGAGTGAGATCGCAAACCATGACCAATTGCATCATCTGCCAAATAGTTTCTTGTAATACCCTTCCATATCCAAGAATCCGAAGGAGAGACTACCTTTTTGAGGTCTAAAGACAGATTACTCACATTATGTTTACTGCAAATAGGGATGGTAACGGGCCGGGTTCGGGCCGAGTATTGGTCCCCCCGTCCCCGTTTAAAAAATCGGTACCCGTCCCCATTTAAAAAACCACGGGGATTTAAAAGGGGATCCCTGTCGAGTAATCGGGGAAAACCGCGGGGAAACGGGTATCCCCGTTTAGCATAAACGGTTATTTAAACGGGTATTGGGTCGGGTATTGGGCCGGGAATCGGGTCGGGTATATATATATATATTTAAATTAAATATATATTTTTTATTTAAATTAAATTTATTAATATTATATATATATAAATAATTATTTTTAATATTTATCGGGTCGGGTATCGAGGCGGGTAATCGGGGCGGGGATTACCAAACCCGTCCCCGTCCCCGTCCCCGTCCCCGTTTATCATCCCCGAACCGACCCGTTTAATTCGGTTTTCGGTTTTCCCCGTCGGGTTCGGGTTTTTTTGCCATCCCTAACTGCAAATCATGTTCTTCCAAAGAGTTTTTTTCATTTGCGAACTTCCATACCCATTTACCTAGCAGCACTCTGTTAGCGAAATTCAGATCCAAGATTCCCAAACCTCCCTCCTCGAAGGGTTGACAAACCCTTTTCCAATTCACCCAGTGAATTCGACTTTTTGAAGAACCTTCCCCCCACAAAAAGTTGGCCATAAGAGAATTTAACTTCCTATAAACCTTACTCGGGATTCTGAAAACAGAGAGGTAGAAAATCGACAAGGAGGACAGAACTGATTTTATCAACACCCATCTGCCCGCCATAGATAGTGTGGAAGCTTTCCAACCGGATAACTTTTTGATGAAACTCTGAATGACTGGCTCCCAAACAGCCTCTGAATTTCTCTTTGCACCTAATGGTAAACTTAAATATACTGTGGGCAGGACACCTACGGCACAACCGGCCTCCTTAGCCCATTCATTTAATACGTCGTCATCCACATTAATTCCATACAAATTACTCTTCGACAAATTCAAATGAAGTCCAATCATTAGGCTAAAAATCCTCAAGACTCTCTTAATGTTAAGAATATAGGTAGGTGAATCTCGGCAAAACAAAATTAGGTCGTCAACAAACTGTAAATGGGTTAAAATAAAGGAAATCGATCTTCCAAAAACAAAACCCTGAAAAAGTCCCACATCCGTTGATTTCACTAACATACGGTTTAACAGTTCCCCCACTAAATTAAACAAGAGAGGAGACAAACTACATCCTTGTCTCAACCCTTTGCCCATCGAGAACTCCTTTGTAGGAGAGCCATTCACTAACACCAAAATCGACGCCGTGGAGAGGCAACATTTTATACAGGAAACCCATCTCTCCCCAAAGCCCATGACTCTCAATAATCTAAAGATAATTGGTCATTCAACCGTGTCATATGCCCTCTGAAAATCAGCTTTGAAAACTACCCTTTTCAGCCCTTGCTTCCTCCAATAGTCTATGCCTTCGTTTGCTAGAAAAGCACAATCTAAAAGTTGTCTCCCCGGAATAAATGCAAACTATGAAGGGCTCACAATATCTTTAATCACTGAAACTAGTCTCCTTGCTAAAACTTTGGAAATGATTTTATAGAGACTGCCAACGAGACTTATAGGTCTATAATCTTCAATTACTTCCGGATTGTTTTTCTTTGGGATCAGAGAAATGAATGCATGATTGACCCCATGATCCCATTTTCTCCCACAATAAAAATCCTCCATAAACTTCATAAGTTGCCCCTTCAGAGTTGGCCAAAATTTCTTAAAAAAACCCATCGTAAAACCGTCGGGACCTGGAGCTTTAGAACTGTCCGAAGAGAAAATAGCCTCCCTTACTTCCTCCTCTGAAAACATAACCTCCAGGCCATTCCTTTGATCTCCTCTCAATTTTGCAAAATTTAAATTCAAGTTCTCCACCTCTAAAAAATCTTTAGAATTATAGGCTTTCTTAAAGAACTGGGAGTCATAATCTTTAATCAGCTCTGGATCCATCATCACCTCCCCATCCACTTTCAATGTCGAAATGGTGTTGAATATGTTTATGTTTACAGCACATAGGTGGAAGAACCTAGTGTTTCTATCACCATCTTTGATCCATTTCGCCCTCGACATTTGAAACCAAATACTTTCTTCAATTCTATGCAATTTCCAGAGCTCTTTTCTGGATGACAGAAGTTGTTCCCAGTCAAAAGTAGAAAGCCCACTGCCTTGCGCCTTAATTTCCAAATCATTTATTTTGCTCTCCAACCCTGTGATAACTTCAGATATCCCCTGTTTATTTCTGATTGGCCATTCCTTGATATGTTTTTTAGTTCCTTTTAATACACTGTAAATTCCTCTTCCTCCTCTATTTTTAACCCGATCTGACAATGCATTCTGAACCATATTTACAAAACCATCTTCCTCCAGCATATAGTTAAAGAATCGAAAAGGTTTAGGGCCCCAATTTTTCACATCTTCAACCAATAGTATCGGGTTGTGATCAGAGAGAGATCTAGGAAGCAATTTCTGAACAGACTTGGGGAAGCAGCTTAAGAAGCTGTTACTCAATAAGAACCGATCAAGCCTTACCCAAGTAGTGATTTCTCTATTATTACCCCAAGTGAAAGTGTCACCTGCCAAAGGAAGATCTATTAAATTTGATTGTTACAAGAAATTCCTTAGCAGACCCATTGAATGCCAATTTTGTGAGGCACCAATCTTCTCCTCTTGGTCGAGATAAGCATTAAAATATCCCCCGATGCAAATTGGCAGATTAACAGAGTGAACATAACTCAACAGTTGCCTGAAAAACTCCTCCTTTTCTTCCTCTACAGAAGGACCGTACACATTAATAATAACACACTCCACTTTAGACACCTTGAACTTCCATGTTAACACCTGAAATCTACTTTGATTATACGCCTTGCTTACTTCATAAGCATTTTCATTCCACAAACACAACAATCCACCGGCTGACCCATCCGCTGGCTGGAAACTTTCTCCCTTCAGAAGCTTTCCTCCTAATTTCCTTCTAAGCCCCTTCTTGCTTTTACTCAGTTTTGTCTCTTGTAAAAGCAATATGACCGGTTTGTTCTTATTTACAAGTCTCGACACCCCTCTAATTTTTTCCTTTCTTCCTAAGCCCCTAACATTCCACGAAATAATATTGCATTCCAACATATACACTTCAAGCCCAAACCTTCGAGGAAACAGTAACTGACTCACTTAGCAGCTTCATTTACCACCCCTGCACCTTCCTCCATCTTTCTAATTTTATCAATAAAAGCCTCCCTCCCTTCCTTGAAAGAAATGCCTAAACTCTGACAGACTTCCCAAGTATTCAATGCTTCCTTAAGAACTTTTGTGAAGGAACAAGAGTAGATTGTAGATACTTCTGCATTGGCCAAAGCTTCTGAGATTAAACCTCTTCTCTTCTTTCTGTATTTTCTCCGATTCCTAGAAGCAATAACCTGATCTGTCACCCCACTGACTGGAGAAATGCTGCTACTAATAGGGCCCATAGGCTTGTTGTGACCATGGGCAGAAACAGTAGTATCCTTATCCTGACCCCTAACCCCTGAAGCTAATGAAAATTGCTTAAAATTATGAAGTACCAGCCTGTTTTGAATGTGCTTATGAATATTTGCTGAACATAACCAAACTCGTCTTGTTTTTGACCTTCTGTATACCCTCGCAAAACGTCCACAACCCCTCAATCCCTCGGAAGTCTTACTTATTGACAAGCCTTTAGATACCTGATATCCTAATCTCCATCTCCTACAACTCTTCACCTTTGCATTTGTGTTGACCTTCTTAGACTTAATTCCTTTGTCACCCATATCAAAAACCTCAATTTCCTGAATGCCTTCATTCTCTTCCTCTACCATGATAGTACTGTTCTCCTCATATGTTTCAGAAAGTGATTGGTCCTGTAAATGGCTTTCATTGTCCACAGGACATCGCTGGGCTAGTGAAACACACTCATACTGCTCAGGTCCAAACACCTCAGATCTACCCGTTTTATAATTAATCCCACAATCTTTGACAACTTTATCTTGTCCCGAGGTGCCACCTTCCACTCTGAACACCTTTTTCCTTCCAACAGCAGGAACGCCTGACACTTTCTGCTTACTTTTAGCCTCACCTAGTATTGTCCCCTCATCCCAATGGTCAGCCCCTGTAATATTATTGGCTTCCACGTTAAAATTCAAATTATCATCGATCATTGTGTCATCCCCATGAGAAGCACCTTTAGCCCTTGCTTCTTGTCTATTCTGAGCTTCTGACATCTTCTGGAAATTCAACTGCCCTTGCTGACCTTCTCTATCATCCCCTCTGCTCCCTTCCGATGAAGTCTCTTCTCCCAGGTCAACTCGTTCTTCCACAGAGCCATCTTCTTCCTCCCCATCATCAAGCTCAGGAAAGAACTCATCACAACCTTCCACTTTAATCTTAATAATAAAAGATCTACCATAAGTATTAATGATTTCCTGGAGCGGAATATCGAACGGGCTTTCCACTCTTAACAGCAACTGAGCCACCCTGCAATCCACTCTTTGAGCAGTTTGATCCTGAATCTTCACTAACTTGTCCCATCTCGCAATCAAACTAGAAAAGAATGAAACTGACCAACAATTTAAAGAAACAACCATCAAGGATACTGCACAGAAAGGTAATGGAACGCCCTTCTCCTTCATGACAGGCTCCAGCCTTTCAAACCAGAAAGACAATGCCTCCCATTTGTCCTCCACCGCTGCGATTTTCTCCTCCACAGACTTAAATACAATCAGACATGCGTTTCTCGCAAAACCCCACCTTATCACCTTGACATCAAAACCCTCAGTCCTTAAACCTCTTTGCACAAGCTCAACTTCGAAAATCTGCTTGCATATACCAGTTAGAGATGATCTTAACCAAGTCCTTTCTTCCATTGGAATATGAACCTCCAAAGGCTTCTTAACCTCCCTCGTATCTCCACAGCTATTCCTCTGCTGGCCCTCGGTATTATCCCTTCCCACTACCGAATCCTTATAAGATCTTCCATCATGAAATTTACTTAGCAACTCCCTCCTCCTCGCCTCAACTTGGACTGTTGATCTCTTCCCTCTTGGCTCCACTTCGCTGGCAACTCCAGACCCCACTCCAGTAGCTCGCTCTCTGCCGCGCGGAAAACTTCTCTTATGGTATTTCGCAATCGACACCGATATCCTCCTTCCATCTACCACAACATTATTCATCCTATCCTTTGCATTGAACAGATCCTCCTTACAAGCAAAATGCACAAAAGCGAATGTATAATCCTTGTACTTTGGTTTCCTATTAACGAACGGAATGAACACTTTGATCACCTTGCCGAAATAGCTAAAACGCTCCCATAAAACGCTTCTATGCACTCTCCTACTAAGATTATCTATGAAAGCTACCCATGCTCCTTCTCCAGGCAATGCTCCGCCTCTGTCAGAAGAACCCAAACCAAGCTCCACGATCGCTCTCTCACTAGCTTTCTCACTCATTTTTGCAGTCACTTTCTATTCTTACATCAATTTGTTTTCAGATTACGAGTGACAGTGATGCTGCTAGAGACATCTTAATAGATGGTATTAAATGTCTGCCTCATTGCAAAGTGCTGTTGGAGGTAGTTATGTTATCTTCAACTTATAATTTGTCCGATGTGGGATCATTAACATTTATTGTGATTTTGCAGGCATAGCACAAAACTAGAAATCTATCGTCCCCTCTTTTTCCTAAATCTTCAACTCATTTAATCTCTTGTTTATTGGAATTTGACTACTATTAGTTGATATAAAAGTTTAATCATTCTTATGCTTATGTAGGAACTGATAAAATTTGGCATGATGCATGGAGGGCCTAAGAACATACATGTGTTAGATGCTATAATAAATGATGTGATATCTCTAGGGCCATCTCAAGGTATGGATTCAAAAGAAGCAGAGGAGATATCAAGCTTATATCTACAGGTGAACTTTTTCTCTTGGAGTTTTTCCACAGCTGTTTATGTTTTGGAGAAGCATGTAAGAGGACGTTATTTCTCCTATTATTACATGTATTTTGGTCCCTTATTGAATGTTAAACACATTTAATCTGTTTTGGCCTTCCACCATGGCCAAAGTGATTAAAACCCTTTCTATTTATTCATGTTGCTCTCTCTCTCTATATTCTACATATGAGCTCACATGGGAATCTTCTTTCTGAAAACTAACCAGTTGGTAGACTTAGAATATTTGGTTTGATTGGTGATGAATATCTTTACCATTTTCAATGTTTTTCTATGAAAATATATTTAGTTACCAGCTCTCCAAGATCCTGCTTCAGTATGAAAGTGGCTGTAATATGGCCACAGTTTTTTTTGTATCATGCCTAGCATTAGTTTGTTTTTCATCTAAATTCATATGGTAGTGGAAATATGACCCATGCAACCAACTTAAAGATAGTGGATGATGGAGAAAGACTGTTGTTATTGTTGTTTCTAAATTATCAGGAGCTGATTGGCAAAAGTATTTTTTTGTGGGCCAGTTTGTTGATCTTTGTGGAACCATGGATGATATAAGAAAAGCATGGAATCGTCACATAAAGTGTTTTCCTGATTCTGCAAGGATGAGAACTTACAAGTTTTCCGTTGTTAATGGTATAAAACCTATATCCTTGATGATGACTGCTGTCAGAAGACAAGAAAGCCCTGCTTTTTTGCCTTCACGTCCATCTGGAGACGGAAGTTCAGACATCTCAGTTCAGTCACCATCTCAAGACAAGATATTGGAACCTCCTAACGTTGATGATGCCCAGCCTTACCATGATGCCTTGGACTGTGTATCAGACAAGAAATCACCATTGTTGGAAGATCATGAAATTCCCCTTTACAAGGCTACGGTCAACAAGCTTCAATCAGGAGAAGTTGATGAACGATTGCAGGGGGAAATGCAGCAGAGTTCGCAGGATGTTTCAAAGCATCTCAGAGAAGACATAAAAGCTAATACAAATATTTCATCTTATAATTTAATATGTGATAAAGTGGAAAAGGTAGTTGAAGCATTAGAAACTTCAGAAGAACATTCTAAGGAAGATAATTTCCAGCCAGAGCATGATCATAAATCTGAACAAGATGTAAACGGACTTCCTTTGGAGAGACTTTCATTGGGTCATCTAGATCGTGAGGCTTCGGATTCAATCAGTATGGCAAATCAAGGTGAAACTTCTGTAGAAACCAGCTTATCAAATGAAAGCATGATGAAAAAAGAACCTCCTCAAGAAACCAGCAAGCTCGATGGAGTTACACCAGAGGGCCCTCAAAGTAATGGTGGAGGTAATCTGGAATCTGGCCCAAGGAATGCTCAAGCATCTGATTTTGCTGGAATTCAAACTGAAATGATAAGTCCTTCATCTTTGGCAAGTCAGCAGAACATGAAGAAAACAGAGCCACTTTTGCGAAGTACGCCTCCAGATGATGGTGGAAGTTGGAATCAAAGGATTAGTGCTGACGGAGTTCATCGAGCAAATAAATCTGGCCATAGAAGGCACTCTCATAAAAGGCTGCATCAAAGGCAACAAATGTCTCCAAAAAGGCAGTATCCACGAAATGAAACTGGCACACAAGTGCCTATGACTCGAGGTTACCCCAGTCAGTCTATGCATTCACAGATCCCACAAGTTCAACAAGGTGACCAATCACAGAGTCAGTACCCCACATCAACTGCTTATCCTAATTTAGCTACAGTTCCTACCTGGTCTATGCAGAATATGAACCAACAGAACTTTGCCCCAAGTCAGATTCCCCTAGTTCCCCAACCTGCTTATCCTCAACCACAGATCCCTCAACATCCCATGCAAAGCAATGAGCAACTTGTGCAAATGCAGAATAATCAAGCATATAATCAAATGTGGCAATATTATTACTACCAACAGCAACAGCAGCAATTTTTATTGCAGCAACAGCAACAGCAACAGCAGCCCCAGCAGCCCCAGCAGCAGCTTTTACAGCAACAGTATCAACAACACCAACAGCTGCTGCAAGTGCAACAACAATTTCTTCAACAGCAATCATTACCATATCAGCAGCCACAGCTACTACAGAATCAGCAGCAACAGCTACTACAGAATCAGCAGCAACAACAATTTATTCAACATCAGCCTCAACAGTATCTTCAGCAGCAGCAGCAGCTTCGGCCGCTAGGCTCTTATCAGCAGCAATTTCCACCACCAAATCATCATCTTTACTTGCAGCAGCAGCAAGAACAAGAAAAAAGACAAGAAGGGCAGATCACAACATCTCAGGTTCAGATGCAGAGTGACTTGAGCAAAGAGGTGTGCTTTCATTAACACACTGGTACATGGAATCTGTTCATTAACACACTGGTGCACGTGGGATTATTTAGATATAAGTTCAAATTTAAGCAACCCTGACATTCCTTTTACCTGAAATGATCATGTTGCATCTGTAGCAGTGCAGTCTACTCTTAAATGGAAAAGATCTTTTAGTCATAAGAAGCGGATATAAATTAAAACTCTTGCCCTTATATTTTTCATCCTGACTGCAATTTAATATTTCTTTCAGGAATCCATGATGGAACCAGGTCGACAAACAACATTGCAGGTTAGTTGAAGTACTATTCTCTTCTAAAGAGAGTTTTATGTTGTGAATAAGTTTAGATTTTAGCTGAGATTAGACATGTCTTAAAGGGTCTTAATGGCAAATCCATCTTCTCCAAAGCTGGTGAATAATCAGAGTTCCTCCTTTGGATCTGAATATCTGATTAAGTTGATTGCATTGAATTTATGACGCTTCCTAAATCCTACCTGCTCTTTCATCAACCCAACTTTTGAAATATCGTTCCCATTTATTGTTGGTCCAGAACAAATTCTATTTCAAATATATGAATGTTCATCTATTTTTGTGAATCAAACGTATGCATTGATTTCTTTCTTATAATGCAGGGCCAAGATACATTGCCTAGCAGGAATGATGCATCTGAAACTGTATTATCCGCAATATCTCCCAATGCCCAGCGATGATATTGAGTCAAAGTGATGTGCTGGTGCGGTGTTATCTCCTGTACTAGGGATGGTTACTGTTAGGTGTCCTAACTTAAATGGCTATAAAACATGAAACTTTTTGTTAACCGATCTGTTACTTAACCTGAAATCTTTAGATTGTTTACAATCGGAACTCTGGCTACAAAAAGTCGTGTTAAAATTTTGAACACATTACTCTGTTCATCCTCTCTAAATCTAAGATTATGACTTAATATAATTAATTAGTCGAATGTCCACTAAGATGGTAGGGAGTAAAGGAGAAATGATCCAGGCACGGGCAGAACATTGTGGCTTCGGTAGTCATCCAGGGTAGGCTTAGTTCATGACTGATGCAGTCACCTAATGTGGCTCTCTTACAGGTACTAGTAGATACGTGGGTTCAGACATTTTCAGAGACTATGATTTAAACCTGATCAACTTGTTTCATATCAATAACATCATTGAAATAGTCCCTGCTACACGTACCCATTTTGGATAAGCAGAAATTGAACAAATTAAGTCGATCGCAATCGGTAAAGATAAATAAGAAGCGTGGTGAAGAACTGGAAACAATTACAATAATCAAATGCAATTTGGTCCAAAAGAACATTCTAACTAAAATTAGCAGTTATTCAACTGCTAAACGAATTCAAACTAACTATGCTAACTTCCAGTAAAGAATCAGATTATCTAATTGGGGTCCGTTAATATAAACGACAGTTCTCTTTAAAATCTCAAAACATCATCCAATTTTTTCTTTTTTGTTACATCGGGAACTCAAAAGGGACAGTTGGTGAGTTTCGAACCATAAAAATGTTTAATGTTATTTCTTAAAATAGTTGTAGAATCAACTTTATCAAAGTTTAGGTTCCTAATAGTTTTGAAGTGCAGTTGATTAGCCATCGGCGAGTGATTGCCAAGTGAAATTTAGTTGAAACAAAATACCTGGTTTGTTCATATTATAACTGGAACAAAATACTAGTAGATTTGGTTGCTTCCCCCCCCCCCTCCCATTATCTGCAAATGGAGTGGCTTTTCTTTTAGGTAATTCAATTCAAGCACAGATTCAGTTGGATTTAAAGTGATGATTTGGTGTACTATACTTATCTACTTATGGTTGCATGAATGAAAGGAACAAGTGATATAAACAATGATATTTAACTAGGTCTTCCTAAAAATACATGTAATAATAATTCATTATAAAAAAGATAGTAATTTTTTCAATAAGAAAGGAAATCAAAACAAATTGGGCCAATTCTAAATTGGATCCAAAAGCTTGAATGGGCCAAAAATGGGAAAAGGTAATCCGATGACCCAGTTGAGGAATTAAATAATGGCTCAAAATACACAAACCCTAAGAGCCATCACTCTAAACACACATATATAAACTGCAGCAACTCTAGAGTGAGGCGGTCGAGCCAAACCCTAATATCACAGTAAGTATCGGCACCTTCATTTTGTGTGTGTGTGGAGTTCTGAAGGTATTCTGTAAATTAGGTGTTCAATTTAAACATTTGTTTTGGTCTTTGGTAATGATAAAGGTAAGAAGGAAAAGGAGAAATGGCGGTGCCGCTTTTAAGTAAGAAAATCGTGAAGAAGAGGGTCAAGAAGTTCAAGAGACCCCAGAGTGACCGCAAAATCTCCGTTAAGGCATGTTCAAAATTTTCTATTTCCATTCTACTTTTACCTGCTTGCAAAAGTTTGATCTATAATACCCTTTTTGTGCAATTTGAATTGAACTTGAGTTAATGTGCATAGAGAAGTAATTCTTTGACACTAACTTGAGTTTTGAAAAGTGGAGTCAGTATCGTTCGGCTGTTTGATCCGTTTATTGTGTTTGAGATTATTTTAACGTTTCATTTTGCTAGTACATGTGGTTCTTGTTGTTTGATACCCAGTTATACTTTCATCTCTAGATGGAAGATGGTGATATCAATTGACTTTTAATCTGCTCCATTTTTCAAAATAAAATATTCTTTTTTTGCACCGCCATCTGATCTATATTGTAGTTTTTCTTTCAATTTTTTGGTCAGTTTCAAACTTTTAATTGATGTAGTACTTCTTTTACTTCCATTTGCATTCAATCTATGATGAAAAAGAATCATTGACCTTACCTATCTGTGATGATTATATGAAACAATCACCATCTTTTGGCTGAGATTGTAGACCTTTTCTGCGGCAAAAGCAATAAACATTTGTTAAATATATTGGTATTACTAAATTCACTGTGTTTAATTTCAATTTTCTTCACATATTTGAAGATATTTCTCTCCAAGTCTTTTGCCCGTGGTATCTGATGTGCAGTTTATATATATATATATATATATATATTCATTGCTGGACATTTCGTTTTGAGGGCACATAAAAAATTTGAATGTTACTAAAACCCTGGTCACATTGATCTGCTTTCTGTAGCCCTTTTCGTTTTTTTTCTTCCGTGCTTGCAAATTATAAGTGAGAAACTTGTTTTACTTATTGTGAATGTGCTGTTATAGACAAACTGGCGCAGACCAAAGGGTATTGATTCTCGTGTAAGAAGAAAGTTTAAGGGATGTACTTTGATGCCCAACATTGGCTATGGTTCAGACAAGAAGACACGACATTATCTCCCAAATGGCTTTAAGAAATTTGTTGTGCACAATGTTGGAGAGCTTGAACTTTTGATGATGCACAACAGGTAATCTAATGCGTACTGTGTTGTATACAATCGTCTAATGTATATACAATTTATGTTTCTGTTATTTCACTTTTTGTTTCTTTTTCAGGACATATTGTGCTGAGATTGCCCATGATGTTTCAACGAAGAAGAGAAAAGAGATTGTTGAACGGGCAGCACAGCTTGATGTTGTTGTTACAAACAAACTTGCCAGGCTGCGCAGCCAAGAAGATGAATGAGCATAAGCATATAGTTATGTTTTGCATTTGAATCATTGCTTGTGTTATTGCAAATTTTGGATAATTTGGTTGTTTTGATGAGAATAATTTTCTCAACAGGAACTTCGTTTGTACTATGGAATTATTACTAGTACAATTATGTCTTAAGATATTTTTAAAGCTTTTTCTTTGAGTATTTGGTAGTTATATTTGGTAAATCCGAAGTCACAATGTATTTCGATAATTTTTTTTTCTCAAAATTATTATTTAGATGTTTACTGTACTTGAATTTGATGTCTAGCTTGAGGTGAACTTAGATCAGGCATTGGTTTCAATTTCATCACTAATTTTGACTTCGATGATTCGAAGCATAGCAATGATTAGATTTACAACCTGTTTAATACCTATAGGGTCGTTCTTGGAATTATAATCAATACAAAGAAGTTTAACATGTTTCATCGTTCATATCACAAGTTCATGTTATTAAAGAAATCTAACCGGTTTTATGCTTGTTTCTTCTCTCTGCTAAATCTTCACCCCACCTTGGGCGCCCTATGAAAACCATGGCGGCAACAGCTACAACTGCAACTCCAACTGAGGCAATAATTGAACCCCAATTGAGTTTTTCATCATCTTTCTTGACCCAACCCTTCAATTCCAACTCCTTGCTCTTCTTACCTTTCAACTCCACAATAGCTCTCTTCAGCTCCCACAAGCCAGGCTCGAACTCCCCCATCTTCACTTCTATATCACTCACCACCTTCTCCGGTCCTTTCAAGCCTTCGATTTCTTCCATTATTGCCTTCAGATCCAGTAATTCAACACTCCCCCTCTCCAACATCGCCTCCAAGAGCTCGATTTCCTTGCCCAACTCTTGTGTTCCAATGTCCCCGATCTCTTCTTCCTCAACATTATCACTCACGCTCACCTTTTTTATTTGATATTCAACATCACCATCACCCCACTCAATGTTATCAGCAGCATTTCGCAACTTCTCAAAGTTCTCCATTGTCTCTTCCTTATCCGAAACTAGTTGACACAGATTCCCTTGCTGACCATATAGATCGATGCCCAACTCTTTAAAAATCTCACTTTCTTCACACTTCTTGGTTTCTTCGATTCCGATCCCAAAGTCTTTAAGTTTATCGTTTATTTTCCCTATTTGAAGCATCAAATCCACAAAATCTTGTTCCAATTTCTTCCCTTTCGAAAACTCATATCCTTCAATTTCTTTCACTTCCCTAAATTTCTCCACTTCATCATCTTCAAACCTTTTTTGGAGAATCGACATTAGAACTTTCCGTTCAAGTTGTTCGGTTTCATGAGTTAATTGGATTTCACATTGGTTAAATTCTTCAATCCTGTTCTTCAAATGCATTAATTTATCTTCGTTTTCTACACAGTAACAGTTAAATCGAGATACCTCGTGCCCTATGCCCTGGCATTGCTGATTCAGATCTGAAAGATATGTTTCGACCTTGAACGCATAACAATCACCGCCTTCGTTCTCTGGCGTCCGATAATTGGGCGACGATGGGGCGTTGATCATCACAGAGCTTCCCATTAGAATGACCAAAAAAGATTACCAAAAAGATATCAATTCTCACCTCTATTTCCAAAATGAAATTTTGGGCTGATTCTGAATCCTTTCTCAGATTGAAAAGAAAAGTGAAAACAAGAAAGAGTTTGCAAAGAAATAGCTTTGATTTAACGAAATCTAAAAGTATGCTTCTGACGCTACTGGATGCTTTGGCTGCAAAAAAAGCGGGAAAATTTCTCGGCTGAATGCTGATAGTTTGGGGGCGACAGTATAAATATGTTTTCGCGCCTTAACGCAAGCGAAAGGAGGGCATTATCAAGAGAGATTTAAGGGTCAACTATAGTACGTGGATGCTTTTTATTGGCCTAACTTTTTTTACAAAAAATTATGTAGAAAATTAATTATATTATACACCGTGTATAAATCAAACAGTTACTATTACTTTATTAGTAAGCATATCATAGAGTATCCATGTATTTTTATACCTTTTTGGATTTATTATTATTTTCCAAATAATCTATATATTGATAATATATTTTTCATTTTTAATAAGATATATTTTATATAAAATATGTATCTATAATCTATTTATATATATACCTATGCAGTATGAATAAATCAATCTCTATAGTTAAAGGGATAATTATTATCTCTAGAGATTTTGGGTTCGAACACGTTGTCTGTAAGGGTGTTTGAGCTTCATTTTCGAAAAGTTGAAAATATTTCGAACAAATATTATCTTATAGCCAGGCTAATAAAAAATATACATATACCTATATAATTACATAAAAATAATATTTTAATATGAATAATGATAATCATAATAATAATTAAATATTTTTCATAATAATACTTTAATAATGATAATACTTTTCCCTTTTTGCTTCTTTTTCATCCCCATTTTCTCTTTTTCCTCTTCCTTCCTCTCCCTTGCAATCCCTATTCTTATCCATTTCCATTGCTCCTATCGCCTCTCGCTGATTACTAACCATTTTTCCAGGAATAACTTATTTGTTATCTTTTTTTTCTGTTTGTTTTTTGTCCTTTTTGTTGTTGTTGAAGGGCCTATGTGATATTTTAATCGTAATTTGAGAGAAAAATTAAAAATTAATTTTTTTTGTTTAGCGTTATCACATCGTCAATTTAACGAGACGATGGTAAAGTGATAATTATGTTACAAATCGATAATGTTAATGACCAATTGTTATTTTTCAAATTTTAGTGAGAAAAATAAAAAATTTGCTCAAACATTAGTGACAATTTGTGTAGTTTACCCTTAAATGTTTAATTTTTGTATTAAGTATTTAATTCATTAAAGAAATAGGATAATACAGTTAATACTAATTATCGTATGGCTAGAGACGAACTTTCAATGAGTGCTCTTTATGAATAGAAAAAGAATGTCAGAATATCACATTTCCTCCGGCCAACAAATTACACTAGTTGAAGAATGTAGCGTCTTCGAAAGAATAAGCCGAAAACGAGAAAGCAAGCAAGAATCTGGGTGTTTATTTTGAAGGATTGCCTTGCCTTGAGCATGAAACATGCTCATTACAACCCTAGCGCGCAGCAAGCCTTTGCAAGAAAAGAACCAAACCCATAATTTCGATGGCATATATATTACCCCCCCCCCCAAAACTCGCAAATCACATGCCCCTGCAATATTCTTTCTCGCCTTGCACCCTTTAAAGACTCCCTATTTTATTTTTCTTCTTTCAGATAAAAAGCGGCAATGGCCAATGCTCAAATGAAATCCGTCGCTGCTCTGTTTTTGTTCCTTAATTTCTGCATGTACGCCATTGTTTTAGGGATTGGTGGATGGGCCGTCAACAAAGCTATTGATAACGGTTTTACCATCGGTACTCCACCTTTTCAATATTTGTCTATAATGTATGTCTAAGGCTTCAGTTTAGATGATTTCTTTATGTGACATTTGCAGGACCTGGCTTCGAGCTTCCTGCGCATTTCTCACCCGTTTACTTCCCCATGGGAAATGCTGCCACCGGATTCTTCGTGACATTTGCTATGCTAGCCGGAGTTGCCGGTGTAGCATCCGTAATCGCCGGTATCAACCATATTCGTTCATGGCATGCCGGTAGCTTACCATCGGCAGCTTCGATTGCTGGCATTGCTTGGACTCTTACTTTACTCGCCATGGGGTCTGTCTCTTAACTCTGACATCTAGGCATCAAATTTAAAGTTGAATGATGTCAAGGGCTTAAACTTGTTTCCAAACTAACTTGAAAATTTTCTTTGGCAGATTTGCATGTAAAGAAATTGAGCTCGAAGTCAGGAACGCTCGCCTGGTACGAATGAAATTCAGCACCCACCCAATTCTCAACTAAATTAAACTCTTCGACCTGCATAAATTAGCTAACACCAATAATCTCTTCTTTTGCAGAGAACAATGGAAGCATTTATAATCATACTTACAGTTACACAGCTTTTCTACATTGCAGCAATTCACGGCGGCGCGTAAACTATTAAGTTGAAAACATGGTTTCAAGTGGATAAAAGCTCTGTGATTACTTCGTTTTATATCTTTTATTGCCATGAATTTTTCTCTTTTGCATTCGCTTGATTCTTTAGATGTAATTGATGTGATACAGATGAGTTTTCATATGGACCTGTAAAATTTCTAGTGCAATGCCAAGATTCCATCAATCTCCAAATGCTTCTTCGTCTTTGAAGTGGAACTAAAAAAGACAGTAAAAGTTGCATTATGCACATATCTGATACGGGTGAGCACTACATAATTAAAACCGGTTTAATTCGATTTAGTTAATGGGTTCCATAACCAAATTTCTCCTCGGAGCAGCACTAATCAAAGACCTTTCATGCTAACGAATTAGTTCGTCAATGAAAACTTAAAGAAACAAATATTCAAGTATTCGAAAATGTATTATCCATGACTATAAATTTGCTGAAACAAACAGATATTATCAAAATTCACAATATAGACACCAACAGCAACCCTGTTGAAATTGCACTAAGAAACACTAGTATACTCCAAGGAAACTAGTCACCACAACCTGGGAAAAAGAACCAGACACAACATAAACCTAGCTAAGCACCTACGCCGCAAATGTGCCAATAAAAGATTGTACTCAAAGCTAGTAACCAACAACTAGCAACTACCGGCATCCACAGTATCACTACCACGAAACTTACAACTGTTTTTGTAGCTAGGTCTGCCGCACATTATTCTTTAAAGAAAAACATTGAGCCTTGAAATGAAATAGAAGTATAGAAACCAAAACCATTTGTGACTTTGACGAATTGCATGTCTACGGAATCCCCATGAACAGATGGTTCTGCATTAAAAAGAAAACAGCGTATCACACATGATCCAACTAGTATATAATCCAATGCTAGAAACCGGAAGACAGTCACCAATAGACATCCCAATCATTAAAATTTGAACTTTCAAATTGGAAATGGAGGTGAGGTGAAAATACAATTTCCCTTGGGCCTTAGCAGATGACTGTTAATTCAATAGGGAGGCAATTGATTCACATGGCCTCCAGCATATGCAAGCAAAACTTTACCAAGTTACGTAGAGGATATGTGAAGATTGAAGAAAATAAAAATATTAATCGGACAATAGTTACTATACAACAAAATCAACCAGAGAGATAAGTGGACATGCTAGCAAGTGATCTTCCATCATTCACCAAGCCTATTTGGTTCAACCAGGATTAATTGGTGATTAGTTAAACAACGAAGGAACAAAACCTAATTTAAAAAAAAAATAAAAAACAGACAATAAAATCCAGCTAACTGAAAATGGCAAAAGAAATACCGGATAGTTAACAAACAAAAAGCTCAAGATATCAACTTGCAGTTACATAATCCTAGTATTCTCATCCATGCATGCATATACACACAGCGGATATGAGCTACTAAGCATATCTCAGTATGCAGTACTGCAAATTATAAAGGAAAGTATACTGCAGTTTATGAAACTCAATGGATAACCCAAACCTGCAATTTATCTTCCAGAACCAGTAAAAACATCAAACAATCCACAGCAACTTAACACTGAGGTTCTTTGCACCACGGGAAGAGTTGAAGCGACAAGTGGCTGTGAACCCATTAAGAAAACAAACAACAAAACCTTGTAAGTCAACTTAAATAAGGAATATCAAACCTACAACTTCAGAAAAAAGAGGGGGGGGGGGCAGATGTACCTGCTTTTCAGAATGATCATGGGACTCAAAATGTTGAGTTTTGTCCACCACAGTACAACTTTCAGCAGAATTACCCGAGGATGAGGAGATTTTTCCTTCAGTTTCTCTCAATTCAAGCCCAGAGACACCATTTGAGGAGGGCAATAACTGCTCTTCACTTCCCTTCAACCCTGGCTCAACAACATCAGGCACTGATTTGTTTGCCGAAACTTCTGTAGCATGGTCCGCTTCCTCTTGGACGGAGAAAGCAGTTTTTACCAAATTGTCAACATTGGCAGTTCCCACAGCAGAATTACCGTTAACGTTTCCGACTGCTTCATTTTCAACAACTTTCAGGACTTCTTCAGACATAACAGTAGCCAGCTTATCCTCATTGCCATATGCGGCCACTTCAGAACCAAAATTATATGCTTCTTCCTTTGATTTCTTCTCAGATTCATCATCTGAATTGCTTCTACTGCTACTAGAGCTCTTATCATGCTCAATGTGCTGAACAGTGACAAGTGTGCTCTCAAGATCCTCCTGAGATCCCAACTCCTTTTCAATTTTAACAGCAACAACATCTTCCGATCCTGATCTCTCGGTGTTTTCTGCATCCGTAATGGCCCCTTCCGCAGACTTCTCCTCTGCTACATGTGATTGAATTGGTGAAGATCCCCTTTTCCCTTTTTCCTTCTGATTGAATGGATGGTGGTGATTGTGGTCACCCTGGGATGCAGGGGAACCAACATCACTTTCCCTTTCATCTTGGCTTCTTGGATCCCCATTTCCTAGCATCATTTGATAAAATCACAATAGTTCTAATCACTAAGCAAAAGCGAAACCAATTCCCTCCAGAAATGACCCAAATAAACACTATAGAAAACTAATTGACAAGCGTTCTAAATTTTATTAATCAAAATTATTTCCAATCAATTTCAATGAAAAAAGAGCAACTAAAACCAAGATTTAAAATCACCGGCCAATAACTTGAGAAATGGACAGACAAGAGTCATGGAATCCAGTTTATTGGCAGCAACATTTCAGGTCAAAATCAAGTAAAAAACCCGTAAAAATAAATTTTTAAAAAGGGAAAGAAGAAAAAGAAAAAAAATTGAAGTAAACAGTATGTGGTTAAAGAATGGCAATCCCTCTTACCCAAAAACATTTTGTCTCCCAAAAAAAAAAGATTAACATCCCAATGAAAAGCAACCAACTCAATTAATGAAGGGTATGAACACTAAAATTTTGATACTATTAGCTATTGAACATGCAAATCAAGCTGATTACTCCCACTGTAAATCTCCAAAAAAAACCCCGTAATTCAGTAACAGAGCAACATCGATAGATGGATAAACCAAGCTAAAAGAAGAACACCCTCCCCCCACAGCAAAAACTCCTCAAAACAGTGATTTAATAAAAAGCAAAAGAAAGCAAAGTACCACGTGGGATGTTGCTGGCTGCTTGTTCCTTCTTTTTCTTGGCAGCTTTTCTCTTCTTAGAACCTGAAGGCATGATTGATGATTCCCCCTTCTCTTTTTCTCCTTCAAAGATCGTGTGGGGCGTCCCCTAATCTTCCCCCCCCCCTCCCTCTCTCTCTCTCTACTTGTCTATTTGGCTGCTCTCACTCTCTGACAAATCTAGCTGTAAAATTACTTAAATAAATACCCATATTGTGTAGCTGTAGTTTCAGAAATAATACAACGAATTAGAAGCAAATGCTAAAGCGTCATTGGTGAATAAAAACTCAGATTCTCCTTCAAGAAATGCTCTTTGCATCCTCTGATGGGATCTTAAATTTGTTTATTTTCTCTGTGCTTAGCTAATATGGGCTCTTTCTTTATTATTTTTATGGCAAGTACAAGCAAGTCATGTCTGTTAATTGCGCCATTATGTCGTTATTATTCATTTATTTATTTTTGCCACATATTTATTTTCTGTTAATATAACTTTTTTTTTGCTTTTTTGGATTATTTATTTGTGAACGGAATGAGATTGTTTTTGAAATTCGGAATTATAAAATAGTTTGGATTGATGGTTCCATTTGGCGAGGGCTTCAGCCGTATATTTGAAAAATGAAAATCTTCAAATGATAAAAATAAACAAAATAAGTGAGCAGATATATATATATATATGAAGTTAAGGTTTATTTAATTTTATATTAATTTAAAATTATCAGATTAATAGGAATTAATAATTAAATTAAAAATAAAATAATTTATATTTTACATGTAAAAGTTTATTTATTTTTTTCAGTTGTTAATTTCATCCATTATTCTTTATTAATTTGATGACTTTAAATCAATATAAATAGAATAATTTTATAATGTTTCAACAGATTTTATCTTTATATTTGAAAATATTTTATATTTATATTTAATTTTAATATAAAGAAAATTGTATCTTTCAAATAAATAAGAATTTAAAAAGTAAATACAAATTGTTTAGTTGAATAGGTAAAGTAAATTGGAATTTTGGGATTAAAGAAATTTGATTGGTTAATGATTGGTGATGGGATTTAAAGTGGTAGAGGGGCCGTGGCTTTTAAGATTATTTAATGGGTGATTTCAGTCGGCAAACCACCCAAAAGTGTTGGTCGATTTGGGATCAGATCCGAGGAAAAGGAGGATCTAAGTTTTTTAATTTCTTCTTTTATATTTGATGTATATTTTTATAATTATTGAGATATTAAAAAATAAAGCTAAAAGCTTTTATTGTCATTTTATATAATTCTTTATTTTGAATCTAATTTTCAGAATAAATATTTCGTAGAGGATCAACTAGGTTGTCTTCTAATTATTATTTTTCCTTTATCAACTAAATGTTGCGTAGTTTCAAGACCTTCTGCATGACATGAATGTCCGAAGACGTCAGATAATTTCGAAGTCTTCTTAATTAGCTTAAAGACACCAAATAATGTTAGAATCTTTAACTCGAAACTGTAAATTTCATTATAAATGGAGAAATAATCTGAGAAAAATATTATTTTAAAAATTAAATATTCTCAAATACATTATTTTGGCCATTTTGCCCTAAGGAAAAAATTCTCTTCTTTTATTTATTCATCAGACTCGAAAGAAAATGCATGATATTGAACGAAATCAAAAACAGCAGCAAACATCGGATACGCTGCCAAAAGAATATAAAACTAAGTTTACATTAAGAACCTGTCTATTTCTCTTTCGTTGGGACACGTGCAGGATTCTAGGGATGGATTGAAAAAGGTGGGTGGAGGAGTGGAGTGGTCTTCATAAGAATTTAAAATTATTAACCATTTTAGATATTTTTATATATTTTTTATTAATTTTTTATAATTATTTTCTTCAATAATTTTAAAAATTTATTCCTCTAATATAAAATTTTACGATCACGTCACACGTGCATATATGTAAGCGTTCTCTTTCTACTTTCTGTAGATTCGCATGCTTTTTCCTGGGATATCTTTTGTCCCTGAGATTTTATTGTTTTTCTTCTTCCTCGAACTTTTTTCCTCTTTCTCTCAGACTTTAGCTTATGTTGATGTAGATTACTTTTTCCTTGCTTCGTTTGTTTCATGGGATTGTAGCTCAATTGGTCAAACCAGAGCACGGCTCTATCAAAGCAAGAGCTGCAGGTTCGAGTCATGATAGTCTTAGCATATTTTGTTAATAGAGCAGTTGGCATGACACAAATCTCTCTCTCTCTCTCTCTCTCTCTCTATATATATATATATATGTTTGCCACTCTATTTTCATTTGGTTTATTTATTAGTAATATAAATTTATTGTTTATAAAAATGTAAAATAGATAATAACACTATTACATTAATTTTAATACATTTTATAATTAAAGATATTTTATAATTTTCAATTGAACTAATAATAGACGTGTAAGGAAAAATTAATTATTGGATAATTTTTAAATATATAAAATACATATTTATTTCCGATTTTATAAATTTGTTAATATTGTTTTAAAATATATATTTGAATAAATTAGTGTTTTATTATTAACTATGAAATGACAATCTAGCTCAGTTGTTAGAGCACAAGGTTCTTAACTTTGAGGTCGTGAGATTGAGTCCTATGGAGGGTATTTTATAATTTGGAGGTCTCCTACGGAAGTTGCCCTCAACCTAGTGTTGGGGGCAGCCTACTATCTTACCTCCCCTTATCCCAATACATATGGGAACAAGACACAGCCAGCCAGTGTTTTACTATTAACTATAAAATCAACTCATCTATCCCTATGTAGATTCATGAATATAAGTTTTTTTTATGAACTGAAGAAGCTAACGTGATTGACATGGCAATCTAACGATGATAAATAAGGACTAATACCCTAAAAGGCTAAAACCAACTACAAGTAAAGGTTGACCTTTGATATATATTATGGCCGTAGATACAGACTTAAATAGCTTTCAAACATTAAATAGTTTCCACCCCTACTGCATGGACGCCTTGCACTCTGGTGGCCGACGACCGCCATTCCCATGATGCTGTTTCCGTTTCAGATCATTGCAATAGTAGTAAATTCTGTAACGTTTCCGCACCCAACTCAGCTGTTTTTGCCGCTAGCATGAGGCCCTTGCATTCCCCAATCACTTTTAGCGACGAAGTTTCCGTAATAAGCGACGAAAGGAGCCTTGGACTAATCGGTTTTCACTCTTTCGCCTCTCGTCGCCCAATCATCCGCATCCCATAAGCTGCCGTACACCTTCATCCGCTGCTTATTGGGGTACGGAACTCCGATGGACTCTTCGTTGCTAAACACCCTTATCAGAATGTTATCTACCAAGATTCTGAAATCAAATGAAAGAAAGTCACTGAAAATCTTTCGAGAAAAGACTAATTACTAATGAACAAGATTCTTACATGAACTAATTACTAATGAACAATATTCTTACATGATGTTTCGAGGATTCCATACGATAGAATATGTGTGGAAATGTTTTGTTGGGTCGAACCAGAGGTGGAACCCTTCCTCCCTTCCCCCTTGTCCTTGAGTGAAAACGTTGGTATGAAGAGTGTAAGGATAGCCGCTTTTGTTACCCAAGAACTCTAGATCGATCTCATCGTGAGATGGGCCTTTAGAAGATAGCTACAAAAGATCATTTTATGGAATTACAAAGAGTTGAATCTTCTTGGTACCTTGAAGTGCTTGCAAAAGATATCAAGGAGAAATAACTTACGTAGAAGGTGGTGCCGGTGCCGGTGCCGGCAGAGTTACCAGCAATGAGTTTCATTTTCATGTTGAACCTTTCGATGAGGTAGTCTCTCTTGGACTTGAAACCTGAACCTCCGGAAGTTTTGTCCATGGTAAGCGTTAGAAGATTTCCCCGATCGAGTATTCAAGCATGGCAGCCGCCCCATGTTATCTTCACGTCTTGATGGAAATTATTGGCAAAAGCAGCAGCAATGAGAGAAAGCAAAAGCATTGATGAAACTCAAGTTTCCCATCTTCCAAGTAAGGGAACAGTTAATGCTGTAGTTGAAACCATGGGGGGGAGAAGGCTATAATATATATAGGTAATGACCTGATCACAGGTTGTTTGATATATGACAATTTGAACACATTAATCTTTGCCGCTTCGATATATATTTTTGCAACACACAATGTATTGTGAAAGGATGTAAAATGGGTGACCAGATGGGCTACTGATCCATTGAATGCAACCAAGCAATGGATTAATTCCCCCTGCAGATCCTTAAACATTGTGGAAAGGGTGATCATACGGGCCGTATTATCAGCTAAATTTATTTGGACACTTTGGACTCAAACTTGGTTTTCTTTTCGGCGTAGACAAATGTACGAGATAAACTTAGATCCATAGAGGGTTACGGTACACTCGCCTCCATTGGCACAGACAGGGTCTTCCCGCTTTGGCTCAATCTTATATTTGAAGCAATGAAAGTCAGCTCCCACTGCTAACTTGCTCGGGTGATGCATGTTGTTGTAAAGACTGTAATATAAGAGTTTGGAAGCATGGAATCGGTAATCAACGGCAGCAGTTCTTTGGTGATCACGTGACATGCTAACATGGAAGCATCAAACAAAGGTTAGAAATTTTTATAAATGAAGAGTTTTCCCTTAGTACTTCCAACAAAATCACTTCTGCAACGTTGATTGTGATGGATTAAAGAACAGACCACCTTAACAACATCCAATTGAAATGAAACAAAGACTAGAAACAACGTTATCTAGTAGGTGGAGTCTAAGAGAAAATTTGGTTCACAAAAGAATCATTACTAAACGTAATAATCTTTTTCGTGTTTTATGTATATGTTTGATTCGTTATCATTTTTACCAAGTGAAAAAAAAAATTATTACCAACAATATTATTTTTTTATAATATTCGAAATATCATTTGAACAAAATTCATCTTAAAAATAATAAATTTTCTAATGTTTCTGTCGAATAAGCCAAAACATTTCGTGAATCAAAGATCCATCCGACCATAACAACATTACAAAATGCAAAAGATTAATTTTTACCGTATTGGGGAATTGCTTGGACGGAAATAAATGAGATGATTCATTTTCTTGATATTATAAACTAATTAATGACTGAGTGATGAGGTTTCCATTGATTGAAATCAAACCAAAAACGTCTAGAAAACGGAATAATCAAATTCAGAAATAGAATAGAAGTCTCCTACGAACAAATTATCATCCCAAACCAGGAACCATAGAGAAAAAGTATTGAAGGAAAACAAGAACTGAAAAGAAGAAAGAAGCCACAATAAAATCATAAACCTT